ATACTTTAATCTTCATTTATTGTGCGGTCAGTTGTATAATTTTTATTCTGAGAAAAAAACATCTTTCATATTAAAGTTTGTCTTTAATGTTTGTCTTTAGACTAAAAATATAATAACTTATGGTATTTCCGACAACATTCCGACGCGTTTCGTATTTAATTAAAACATCAAACTTTTCTTAGCTGTTAGAAAAAAACATTTTTATTTTTACCATAACAGAAACATTAAGACTTAATAGTTTTATATTTGTTTAGTCTTGCATAATATTATTGAGTATAAATTGTATAATGATTGTACAATCTGTACTCAATGGTAATACATAACGGTTAACAATATTCATAATTCAATCCATCTTTTGGAAAACATAATTATAAATTGAATTAAAAAAAAATATTTTTCACTTCTTAGCCTCTTTTTTCGGTTATTGGGGGGTCGGTCACACGTTTGGACTTTTTACCTTGACACGGCTTTGGCCAAATTAACAGTTTTTAAAAAATGTTTTATAGTGGGTTATTTTACAAAAAATGTGTTCAGCATGACTCTCTGGACATTAATTAGGAACATACCCGTTGTCATTATGACCCGTGTCTGTGGTTTTCGTACTTAAGTTCTTTCAATATAGATAAGTGCTAAAGGGTTTTCTAGTCATTATAGCCATTCAAATGTTAAAGATTTTCCAAGAGAGAAGCTTGCTCTTTATTTGAATTGTTAACAAAAACATTTTAATATTCACTTACTTACTCGAAAAGTTTAAACATGCTTTTTGCTTCTTCGACGCGATTAATCAACCGAGACTCGAACTAACCAGACCGCGACGCGGTTTCATTTACTTTAGTAAAAATTTTCAGTAAGATATTACTCAGAACACAGTCATACATATCGAATATATTATTTTAGCAGGTACATAAAAAGCAAATACACTTCTGGCATTGTTTATTTTTTTTTAAATGCTTTTGGTATATTTCGTTTCTAGTTTCTACCTTTTTTTGTTCAACACGAGCCTGTGCTGATTATATTACAAATCGATGGTACAAATGTTTTTTCTCAAAACTAACCCGACGAACGTGCTGAGTATGCACTTATATTTAATCGATAAAATTCTAGATCAAACTTTCTAGACTAGACAACTGTAGTAAAATATATATTTTGGCATTGACCACGGTACCAGCAATTTCATGAACTGTGTTAATTTTATTTATAAAATATATCGGGACGAGCCCAAAAATAAAATAGTTTTAAATTATATTTTAAACTGACTACAGCATAAGAAACATATCTCTAATTTGGCTAAAACAATACATACATAAATGATTCACTTTAACTACTTAAAAAAAAACACCTTTACCAATCACATTATATAATAGAGCGCACCAAGAGCTAAAATAATCGGTGCACATTTTTATTTTGTATTATATTATACAAAAATATCTCAGATTTTCTTATTGAATATTAATGTGTACATAAACCGACTATAGCCATTATTATATATAAGTAAACTATAAATAAAATTACAGTCAACTTCCGTTCAACTGAACAAGACTAAAAATGTTTTCGGTTATAATTGATTCAAATAGTTTCTTATCGTAATTTTGTATTTGTATATATAATTGTATTTATACATATGTAATTATTTTTCTACAATTAATTGATTATTAAAAATCATAATTTTAGACATCAGATCATGTTTTAATATCCATAAAAAATGTGTTGCTAGGTTTGTATTTAAAATGTACAATCACGATAAAAGGAAATGTAAAACTTTTTTTTGTTTTGTTACTATGTACGTGTAGATAAAGGATTAAGGACTTGCCGTTGTAAATGGTTTCGGTTAGTTTTATCGAACCGTTTAGCTATAGAATTAGTGGCCATGTCGCGTTGAGGGTGTGGTGACTAGATAGTGTTTTTGTTTTATCTCGGTTTTGTAGACGTTGGCTGCATTTGATTCTTTAGAAACAATTAATATACATTTTGTTAATAATTAATTGATTAATAGCAGCAGTTGATTTTGAGAACAAATTAAATCGAGTTTTTTAATTAAAAATTATTATCATCGGTTTAATATTTGTTTAATACCGCTTTTAAAATATGATTCTTTTTAATAAAAGACCACTCGAGCAAAGTATAATTCTTCGTGTATCTTTTTTAACATAGGTTAGATAAACGTCAGAAAAACAAAATTCCGTGACACCTCTTCAGCTGTACACGTATGATTCTTGGATGGTTGTCTTTAATTATTTTTGAACGTGTGAAACATAAATTACTACATTGGATAACAATCTAGTTCGTGACACTACCGTTAAGTCAGCCCTCGTATAAGACGGAGAACTTTCAAGCACTGCAAACAAAAGTTTGCTTGTACACCCAGATTTACTCTCTAACTTTCTGCGACCAAATCGATTTAAGAACTTTTTCGGTAGTTTAATCAGTAACCAGTAACCACTGATTAATGTTGTCCTTGACTTGAAGAACTTACAGTATGTTTTTGTTATCTTTTTTGTACTATTTCAAGTTTTTTTTAGAAATAAGATTTTTAAAAATTGAAATGGATTACGTTGAAAACAAAAAACAGTCGTGACGTTTAAAAAAAACTATCTATAATCTCACAAATATTGGTTTTTAACCGTTTTGAACAAATATTTTTTCAAGTGTGTCATTTGAACAATCGCGTGTAATGTTTTGTGTTAAGTATTATTGTATGGAGTGAGATTTTTTTACTAAATTATAGACTATAGTGTTACAACTAATAAAATATGAATAATTCAATTTATATATATCATCAAATACTAATAAAAAGATAGCGGTGGATTGCCATATTTTTTTACTATCTAAGATTTACTTTTATCTTGTAAATTAAAAAAAATGTATGTCTGGTTATCGATTGGCTGGCCCAAACAATGCATGTGCTCTGGGGACTCGTTTTTTTGCCACTCCCTCTCAATCCAGGCTCAGGCAAAAGTATTAACGCACTAAGGGAGGGGGGGGTTATCAGTTTCACCGTACGGCCGCCACACAAATGCGGTGCGGTTATCATATTACAATATTGCTATATTTGTTATAATTAATATCATAAAAATATGCCCGGAAAAAGTCACAAGTCGCAAAAAAACGTTTACAATGTTCACGCAGTAAAAATTCTCACAGGCTGTTGCCATGTAAACGTCGCATATTTAATTTTATATACTGCGACCCCCCCCCCCCTCAACCCTAACAGTATACAGGGGTAGAATTGAAAGCCAAACTCCGGAAACGTGCGTTGCAGATGTACATACTAAGCGGGAAAAAATGCCTGCTAACAGAATAATTTAACTTAAGCGTACAGAACACAGTCGGTTTATCACGTCTTACAATCTGTAACAAAAAAAAAAATGTAGTCGATATAACACATGAATGAATTTTTTCAATTATCTTTAAATTGAGTTGACAATATTCGGTAGCCTAAAGGCTTGCCATGTTTAACACAGGTGTATTATACCATTATTATAAAAAAATGTATATTATATTGTTATAGTTATATTTTTGATTATATTGTCTTTAATCGTTTCTTCAGAGAGCTCGACGATATTTTTGTTTTTATCTATCTCTCTATTATTAATAATCTGAAACCCAAATCATTTTAATTAATTACTAAAAAAACGTATTCGTTCCTAACTAATGTAGATTTAAAATAAATGAAATTCTTCCCTCACTTTAATAATATACTGTAATTACAGTACAGCTCTTGTACGTACAATAAAAACAATGATGCGGTCCTTAAACAAAGATAACATCATTATTATTATTTTCTTTTTCGCGTACAAATTATGAGACAGAATAAACTTTAAGTCTTCACACCCCATTTTAACGACTTTTTGTTTACACCGAACAAAAATAACTGTTCTAATATAAATACATAACATTTTCCGTCAGATAGTGATGACGTCATTATTTAACATGTTTCCCACTATTTGGTTTGTAATATACCTAGGGTCGTTCATTATTAATTAGTTTAGTTTTATATTTGTTTTATTTAAATTAATTATTTTAGCAAATGTGTTTTTATAATTTTGTGTGGCTTTGATAAATACAGTAGAAAGTCATTCTGAATCATTTTATAATACTCTTTTTTAATTTAATATTCGAAGTTAAAATAACTTTAACATATTTTTTTGCATAACATTTTACCTTTAAGTAAAAAAATGATGATTTATACCAACAATAATATTACATATTGGTTAGGGACTACTATTTCGGAACAAATGTAGCTATACAAACAGTTATTCCCTGTTGGACTCTATAATAATCCAAGATATATTCCAAAGTCATATTTATTACAGGGTAAACTTATATGTTTATGTGGTTTGAATTTTAATCCCCAAAGTAAGAACATTTTTAAGAACGGAATGTTGCATATTGTAGGACGTGTGGGCGGTGGAAAATATATAATATAGAGATTTAGGCTTGAACGTATACAAACATGGCAAAGTAGGTTATATTAATATTATAGTGCTTGAATAGTAGATATCATTCATATTTTCTAAGTGAAATGTGTTGTTCTAATAAATTAAGAAAACATTTGGATCGCAGTAACATATTTTATTTTCATCATTCATAAACGTTTTACCATTTAAATGATAAATGGTCATTTCTCAGGCAGCCATATTAATTAGTTAAAACTCTATTATGCACAATACACTATTAAAATAATTTAATACAAAATTTTAGTTTTATCAATATATGTAGACACTCATACGTTTATATCAAATTCTAAATATTTAAGTTAAATAATTCGAAATTTTATCATTTTAGTTTAATAAGATATTCACTGGTTGTCTTTTGGGCTTTTACCTTATTAAAAGGTTAGGTATGTCTACAATTGTAATGTTCATCCCGACAAAACGCTTAACTTCCAAAAAATTAAAGTCACCCTTTAATTTTTAAAATATGTATTAGTTTTTCATACACCCGTTTAAAATTTAAAATTATTATTGTATACTGACCAATGTAATAACTTTTGATTGCAGGCGTCGAACAACACTCGGAAATAATCAACTCTACGTTAGTTAATCAGGTAAAATAATTTTCATTTTTTAATAACATTTATAATTATTTACATTCCCAAGTACCTATTGCGAGTATTTAAACTCCCGTCATTAGATAAACATTATTGTTCTATTTTCTTTATCGCTAGCGTGTCGGCTCAGAAGTTAAAAGGTACATCTCAACATATCCTTCGAGGTTTGTCCTAAGACGAAACGGCAGTTTTTCGGTTTTGACTTTCTTAAATCTTATAGACATGTTCATTCTATTATTTTATTATGTTGCTACTATATGTTGTTACTATACTATGTTCTACTTTTTAATAAATAAATATATATACGTTCACTCTAATTTCTAGCATTATAATTCGTTAAAAATTGGTTTTTATGTAAAACGACCTCATAATAAATTTAAAACTATAACTAAAGCTCGGTTTTCGTATAACAGATAAAACAAAATCATATACAAAGTTGTACAAGTACTTTTGTATAACATAATAAAGAGACTAATTTTTCTAATACTGAAAACGTATGCTAAATATATATATATATATATATATATATATATTTGTATAAACACAAAAAAATATTGTATTATAGACACACTTGCACGTTATTAAGGCAATGACCCGTAGGAGTCCCATGTATGTAAGCTTATACATGTATTATAAAAGTTATCACGCAAAATTAACATGCATATTATTTGAAATAACGATTTTTTTCCTTTAGTAATTTAAATATTGTAGATATTTGTTCTACATAACATACCTATACATAGATATATTTGCAATTGTTACCTTACTACATACCGTTATAGTAAATGATATTTCAAATATAATTGAATTATGATTGTTTGAATGTTTAGTATTTTTAATTTTGACCACTGCTTGAAAATTGTTAATATTTAATGTATTTAATACTTATCACAAGGTGTAACCATTCAGTTAAAACTTTTTGAATTTATATCAATAGTTAATTCATATTTTAATTTATTATTTTCTGATATACAAGTTATAAAGGGAGGTTCAATGTACATTAATATAGAATTTATGTAAACTCATGATATACAAACACAGAAATCCCTAAAGCCGCCCATTTCCAGTAAACGGTCAAACTTTATTATATTATGTATTTGTTTTTGTTAGTTTGATTTACAATATATAACAGGCAAAACAGTTTAAACCCGTTTTTTAACCATGCCTTTAATTTATAGTAGATTTAAATTTAATTTCTTAAGTATAAAAGTCATAGTTAGATAATAAATTGAACTTGGATTTTATCCTGAAGGGTAGATAAAATCTTCGATGTACTTAATATGTTTTTCAATAGGTTGTCATAATTTTGAAACATTTACCTATGTAAAAATATGGGGAACTATTACCGTTCATTACTGAGATGTTTCGAATGATTTGTTGTATATGCATATAACCGTGTGTTTCGAACAAATTAAACATTTTATTTTCGCTCAAATAGTCAAATGAGAATATTGAATTCAAGTGTTTTTCATTTATTTTTTCTAACACCGTGTTCTGTTGTTAAAAAAAAAGTTGTACAGTTTGTTCGAAACAGATGTAATATACTACTGAAAGAAAAAGGAATACATTAGTGTGTACAAAAAACAAAAGAATAGTTTTCTAAGTCCCCAGGGCATATTGTGTCTGCCTTTGGAAAACGGTATGACGCACGAGTCGTCCGTTTATCATTCGCATTAGCTTACTGCACTATCCTATGCGTTTTGCAATAACATTTAATTAAAACTACTTGATTAACAAACAAATATATCTGTTTAATATATATTGGACAAATGCTGTAATGGTGTGATGAGAACCGAAAGGGTACAAGTGATATTTACTGTTACCAGTAATTTTATCTGTTATTATAGAATGTTGTTCATCAAGAACTGTGCATATATATATATAACAATTGTTGTGATATATAAGAGACATTGTTGACCACGACCCTTGCTGTTATCCTGACAGCTCAAACTCCAGTCACAACGTCACCTGTGCTGTTTCAATAATAGCTTTTGGGTTTATGGATTGTGAATATAATATTATATATTAACGATGATCGGATTGGCAAATTGTGTAATGAGTATTGTGTCATAATCATAATGCTATTAATAATAATTTTGAAGAGAAACAAACTTATCGAACAAGCTAATAGATGGTTATGTAATTTGTCAAGTAACACCGACATATTCTATAAGATGTCACATTTAAAGATATTTTAAATAGGACAGTCTGACACTACAAATCAAATTTTTTTTTTGTAAATTTTGGCTAACTATTTTATTTTTAATAAGACTCGCTGTTAATTTTTCTAATATGACTTAATATTTTGTGTCAGGGAAAAAGAAATTTACCTTTAAACAATCAAAGGGCGTTTCAGTTTACGCACGGTTAATTTATTCAATTTTTGCGAAAAGCTGGTTCTCTCTTGACTCAAGCCTGAAACCAGGTTTCTCAATTTTAACATCACTGAGGTTATACATCGATATATACCATAGTGAGATGCAAGTTTTAACATCTCTAGATGTATGTATAATATAATAGTTTACTATGAGGCTATTTGATACATATTGAATAATACCCATGAATTAGTTGTGTTCAGGATGTTAGAAGTTTGGATAGCATTCAATATTATATAATATAATATTCAAGTATTCGTGGTAGATTATAATATATTATACCTTCACCAGAAGTTTTGAATAATCCTTATTGACTGCGCCGTTGTGTAATATTCAAAATTCATTCTGTCGAGCTCTTTCCGGGTCAGGTCGATTTATATAGAGCGAAGGCGGCATGATTTGAAATATTGTAATAAGGTGGAACGCACGCCTTCTAAGGATTACTGTAGCTTAAGATTGTTATCAGTATGAAACATTAGCATGCCCAAGAACATGGTTCGGCTCGGACTTCCGGCTTTAGATACAGGCTTTGACCCAATCAGCAAATTGTTGTTTATTGGAAAACTGCTGCTGTAGTTTCAGTACACAATATTAAGTCGTGGGCGAATTTAGTAAGGTACACTATAATTATTTTGGTCGGATGTGATGGGTAATCAATTTGGAAAACTTCGGGAAACCGAAATTAAGAAAACATGTGTGCTCTGGATTATTATAGAAAATAAAACAAAAATACATTATGTTTCAGCCCACAGAAATGTCGGGATGTGCTATAAGGGATTTTTATGAAGAAACAGAAAGAAGAAGGCAGCTGTCTTTGAGACGGTTGTAATTGGCTGCAATATTTCTTTCAATATGCAATTCGAATAGAACAGATCTTTGAATCGGTGGTATACTACTAAGAAAGATACAAACATGAAAGAACACGTGTTGACTAACATTATATAAATGTAAAGACGTTATTAGTAATTTAATTATGTTTGTGCGGTGTAATTAGATAATTACAAATTAGATGGAAAAAAGTGACTTTATCTTTGCTTTCAAGTAGTAACATTATTCGCAAAATACCTAATGGACGTCGTGATATCGTGTAATTTTTATCTCGATATAAAATTGGAGGTTTTTATCAAGTTAACCATACGTCTTGACCTCGTGCAAAAATTAATTAAATTTCTATCAGTACCGTGAGTTTTTAATTAATACATAATGTGATGTTATCATGTAGATCTAACATAAGTTAATTTCATTATTTTGGTTACACTTTTGTTTTATTTTTTACTAGTAAATTTTAAATTATCTCCGTGGTATTACATTTATTATAAACAATAATAGAGACGTTATACTATGATTTGCCTTATAAGATTATTGTAGAGTGAAAAATACAAATCAAATAGAAAACACCGAAACAATACACAATGCAAGTTCATATTGGTATATAAAAACGCATATTGCTCTAAAGTAACTTAAAAAAAAACTTAAAGTTCAATAATAATTTGTAAATGTAACGTTGATTGAATACATATGTATTCATATGTATAACAAAATATTGTAAACATTGCGTCAGTTAAATGTAATCCCCAACAAAAACCTAACAGTGAAAAAAGGCCAAGTTCCAGACCCCCTCCCAAAAATGTCAGCCTATGAAAGTAGTGATATCTACATTGTGGCCAAGTCTGCTATTTCTTTAGTTCATAACCACACTTCACTCCTACTTTCATGAGCAATACTACTCTTTTATTTGTATTGCTTAACACTTGGCCAGTTTGTGAATGAAATATGACCTTTGGGAATGAGGCATAAAACAGACTAAATATTAAGGCTTTAATTTTAAACAGTGTCCTAAACTATTTAAGTTTAATTTAGGTTTTAAATTTTAAAAGCCCATCTTAAAAAATAGCAGAGATATGAGAGTTAGAAATACCGAGTGAATTGGTTCGTGTAAAGATACACTTGTATTGCTAGAACTTGGCCGGCGCACTGCCGTGCGCTCAGATTTTGTATTTTAATTTTAATTTCGACGACTTGAAACTGAAAAACAACAAAGTAATTATTTGAAAAACTATTACAAAAAGTTAATTACCACGAATGTAAATAATCAGTTCAAAATTTACCTAACACGTTTAAGTAGATCAAAGTCTGTTTCATTATTGACCAAAATTGAATTAATGATTCTTGATAAATGGTTAGCGACTATTTACTCGGTTTGTGTGAAATGTTCAGTGAAGATTAAGAGTAGTTGGGTGCCATAAGCCATACTAACGATTCATATGTTTCTCCTTGAAGAAAAGGATATTTTTGGTTGTTTTTAAGTTATTATACTGTATAATTTATTAAGCTATTATAATACGTTATTTTAATAGTATTGTAACAATAATTGCTGTAATATTATTAAGTTTTAAGCCTATTCTTAATTTTATGTTTTTTTTTTTAAGAAGAAATATAAATTTACAGTTTACACATTATCAACTGTAAGAACACACATTTAAAAGCAAACCTATGTTATGCATTAATTTCATTTTCTAACATCCCCCAATTAAACAGTAGGTCAATAATTGATATGTTTTTGAGAAACGGTTACCACTGTACCACTTGGAAGTCTTATCTGGTCGCCATGAGATTTGTTAGGTATGTGCAGATTGTTGTATTTGAAGAATTTCGGTGTAATATATTCTGAGGTATGTACGGACCGTGTACATTTGTCACAAAACGGAGAGGGTTTTTTTTTAAATATTTTTTTATTAAGTGGCGGTAGACTAGTCTGGAATGTTCTTTGTGTGTTTTTGCGATGACCGTTTCTTCTTGTTCGCATAGGTTCGTACTTGTCCGATAGTCATTTATTTTCACGCCTAGTAATGTATTTTAAATATCTCTATTAAAATGTAAACTACGTCCCTTTGGGTACCCACTCGCATAATTCATAATGTGTTCCTCTTTGAAGAGAAGGACTACTATAAAAGCAAATAGGTATGCTGATTTATATTTTATAGGGTTGTTTTGGTGCGGTCGTCCGTTGAATTTTCGACATTTCTAAAATAACAGATACTGAGTTTTGACAAAAACCTATTGTTTAATTTCTATCCAACCGATTGAGATAACAGTGAAGTACCGAGTCAAAAAACAGCGGTAAAACATTTCCACATCACTGAGTGTTTTCAAAGTACACAAGCGTGTCATCGATATAAATCATTATTGCTCATTTCGGTTACTTTTTTATTATAAACTTGCAAGTATTCTGATATCATGTTTTCCATATTTCTCGGCCCTTTACTGCACAACGACGAACAAACGTTGGCGAATTCCACACAAATAAACGACAAGAGACTGTTAACTTTACGTTTTTTCATTTACCTAAGACAAGTACTCTGAAACTGTTTGACCTATTACGCTCGAGAGGATACACAGCACTTACAGCACTTCCTTACTTACATATATATGATACTTTATAACTAATACACTACGGTAAACAGCTGAAGCCGAAGCGCTGACATGACTCATTAAGATTAAAAACACAATAATTGATCTAACCCTGCATTCTTAGTTGTATCTTAAAAAAACCAATACAAGTACATGGGAACTCAGTTCTTGTGTCTGTGACACTTAAGCATTAGACATCCGTCGCTTTATAACAATCGTCGTATGCGAATAAGTTGTGTAATCAATTGGCCTATCGATTTACTTGTTTTTCGTTCACAATTGTCGCAGTAGCATTTTTTTCTCCATTTCATATTAAACATATTTATGTTAATGTGCTAATTTTTTAACGCCTATTTTTCGAATTCACTTCGGCTAAAAATATTTACACGCACATTCCTCGTTCATATTTTTTTTTAAATACTATTTTTATATAAACATTTTTTTGTAAATAAGTTTAACTGAGTATTAACACGCGAACCCAACTCGTATAGGACACTAAAATTATTTAGCAGTACACGAATAGTACTACAAGTGCCTACACACGATTGTTTTCCAATTTAAAAACGTTATATTTGATGTTTGGTTCATTTTAGCAATTTCAATATTTATATATCACGAAAACATCAACAATTTTTTTCTACATACATTTTGTTAGAGAATTTGATCGCCTTTGTCCAACTGAAAGTTATGAGATGGTTTTAAATAAAGATTTTTTAAAACGAGAAAAAATATTTTGTTTTCTGTTTGCAAAACTTTCGTTGTTTTTTTATGTATAAAAAAATTACACAAAATATGACACATTTTAACTTTTGAGTACATTTTTATGAGAGAAACTAAAAGAAAAAAAGATAAAAAACGATTTAATAAAGATGGTGTTTAGTTACGCAGTGTCTTATGATTATATAATATATTTTTCCTTTGAGACTATTTATATTGCTGACGATAACAACTTTTTTAATGAAATACCTATAAAGTCATTGAGTTTCATTTTATTTTTAATATGTAGTTTAGAAAAGTGGAAATTAAAAATGTATTTTCTATTTATTATTAGTATTTTTATACAGCAAGGAAAAAAAACTGATTTTCTCTGAAAAAAATTAAATTGTCCTATTTTTTTAGTGTAACTTTTTTTTTGTAATTTTAATTTAATTTTAGTTATTTCAATAACACGAAATCAACTTTTGAAACTTAAACGACCTATTTTTGAATAATATTTTTGCGGTTTCATCTTCTAGTTGTATATTATGTTATATTCTGGAAAGTAATTGTTATTTAAAAATAGCGATTTCGGTTTCATCAAATTCATATTCGACGTACTGCCTTTGTAAACATATTTTTCTTAGATTAAAAAAAAATAATTTATGGTATTGTTTGCCTATACTCTTTAGTTATATAAATTTAAACGTCAGAAAAACCCTAAAAAAAAATCCTAAAATTTTTCCACGCACAGTGTTTTGAAACAGTGTAAATTATTTTTTTTTTTGCAGAAATTTGATTGGCCTCTGCTAAAGAAATTGGAAAGTGATGATTTGTTGATCATACAACTGTTGAGCCATCAGCGACATCAATGTGACAAGACACTTGGGTATTACACCTTGCCCTTAGATAAAGTGGTTGCTGAACGATTCGTCCATTTGATAGATTCGTTTTCGGATATCAACGACCGAGCATTACCTGTAAGTACAGTTTGTGTTAAAAAATGTTCCATCGTTTCTTTAATTATTTGCACTTGTCTTAGGATTAATTCGAAATATTTAATCACGCGGTGTCATTTAAATCATTTGAATATGTAATATGATGTTAATATGTATAAATATATTTTATGGATTTCGCGTATCAAAGATTGAGAATATTTTCAAATTATAATTTTAAATATATACTATATAATGTAAAAAGTTTTAAACAATGTAGGTATTATAATTTATAATTTATTCGAAACAAAAGCAGGCGGTTTTTGTATTAGTCGTTAGCCGTATGCATATTAGCCACTTTAACAGAGATTTATGTATAATTTTGTTTTTGGTACCTACCTATAAATACATGGCGTTTTTTAATTTATTATAATATAATAATGTGGGTAGATAGTACGTTTTGTTTTCCTAAAAGAGAACATCAAAACTGAAATACAATATAATACACTGCTGTGAAATATAACAGTATTAAGTAATAGTAAAACCTCCATTTATTAGATTCTAATACGATACAAAAACTGCTTCTTTACCAGTAACTCCAACCAGTAGCGTATCTAGGATTTTTCGACGGGGGGGGGGGAATAAACAGATTTTAACAGCCTTGCCTATTAAATATAAACATATATTCATATTATTATAAACATGTTGCGTGTAAACAAAAATTTGAATTCTTAACTACAAAACAAAGTTTAATTTTCTTGAGGACAGTGAAAGAATATTGAGTACTTCATCAGGTGTAACTGTTATATTTTTGTGTACTGATAGTGTTCTGGGGGGGATACCCCCCCGTAAATATGCCACTGACTTCAACCCGTTTTTACTTTCCGGTACAAAGAAAATTAATGTCATCGAATTAAATATGTCTCTTCGGAGTTCCAAAAGCGTCTCAAGATTAATAGAATGTTATTGCCAGGAAACACACATCGGACAATGAGTTTATTAAAATAAAATATCTTGAATATTTGTCTATTATATATTTTATGATAATGTAGAGTAGATATATAATGCTCCCAAGACTGATATACAAATAACGAATAGCTTTTAAATTACGGCCTTAGTTTAAAGTTTAAAATTATCAGAATGGCATTTCTTCATGAAATAAAACCAATTCTATGTTAGAAATTAAGTTTTGGTTATAGACAGACGTTTTCCGTGTCGGGCTCGCCTTAAAGTTTTACGATTGAGTGTAAGCAGTTTAATCCGTTTATTCGGTAATTTTTATTGTTTGTTTTGTAAACCAATATAAACAGAGTTATTATAGGTATGCCTACAACTTCCGGAGGGGAAATAATTAATGTACAAACACACCCGTTCACATATTTTATAAATGAGAAATAAGACCTGCTTAAGACATATTCGGTGATGAGAATTTATTAAAAAAAAAACAACCAGAGTAGAGTATGAATTGGCGCTGAAAAGAAAAGAAAAAAAAAGTGCTCAATGAGAAAATACCAAAACAAAGGCCGCGTTATAGATGGTAAATATTGGTATAGAAAAATTCAACCCTAATGAATGCAAGACAAATCATTAGGAAAACAGTGGAGATGGTTAGTAGAAGGTTCAAAGTCTAAACATATCGTCTTAAGCCTGAAAAATATGTTTTCGTACTAGGCTTAAACCTTAAACCTGGACCATTTAGCTTTTGGCCAGTACTTATAACGTTCTCTTATATTTTCCATGTACACAGTGTTCGTTCAAAAATATCTTTCGTTAAATCAATCATCTGTTTCTTTGGCGGTCTTTACTCGTAATGTTAAGTACAAATTTAGCAAAAATAATATTTAACTATTTTTGATTCTGAAAATAACAAATCCAATCTAAAACTTCAATTCTGTTCAAAATTGAATTAATCTGTCCATTGTTGCCCACCGATGATTTATGACAGTTTATAAATAATAGTTGAAAAATGTTTTAAAAAGTTCTGAAATTACTTTTATTTATTAATGGTATTATTAAACTGTGTCAGTAAATATTATTGTCTTTATTACACAGCTGTTTGTCTTCAGTATTAATATTTAAAAATTAAATAAAAAAGTATAATATATTAATATGTAGTCAAAAAAACTTTTTCGTCGCGCACAACAATATTAAAATAAATGAAAAGTCATTTTTACTTAACATTTTCGCTTAACGTTAATTTTTTTCTATACATGGAGTTGTTTTCTTTATATTATTAGAATAAAATATTAGGCATGATTAGATTTTTTTTATGAGTCAAAGCAGAGACATAACTATTATAAAAGCCCGGCAAATATGATTACTTCTAGGCTTACAATGTGTTTTAGGTACATGTGTTTAAGAGATATAGGCTAGATTTTAGAATAAAAATCATTAGATTTAATTGTATAGGTAGCAGCTATGAGCAATTGTATAATTTTCTAAAGCGAGAATTTTCATCAATTGTCGCTTGAATTTTGATGAAAAACGTTACATAACATGTTCAGAGCTTAGTGAAATTAATAGGGAGTTGTTGAACAAATTAAATATTTGGTTCATTTTTAAAATTGATCAAGTGCTCATAAATAGGAAGTTGAACACAATACAACAACAGAAGGTGTTTGTTTTGTAAACTGTATTTGAATCGAACAAACGCACAATATTTTCTCTAATGGTTATTGCACGAGCGATTCGAGTATTTTATTGTGGTAATTTGTTGGGAGTTTACATAATGTGAAAACTACCAGATTGTGTATTATGTGCAGAGTGCTTTTGCTTCGCTGATCATTTATAAACAATTTACGTTAATGCGATAAGCTAAGTTAATTATTCACGTGACGTTGTTTGTGTGCTAATAATTGATTCGCTATCCCAATTTTAGATTCATATATTTAGCATTTTAAAACCAAACGATGTGCAGATTTAACATCATAATTTATTAACGATATTGGACCAAACATAGCGTTTACCATATCAGTATACTATACTCAGTATATTTTCCTCTAACCGAGTCGACTCGGTACTATATAATTATTTCTTAATTTTCAATAAAAGAAACTGGTTTAAAAATATGTTATTCATTTAACCAACATATCTATGTAAACTGTGTAACTCTGTTTAACGAAACGAATCTATTGGGCAGTTTGTATGAGTCTCTTTTATTGAAAACAGTAATATTAGATAAGAAATACAATTATTTTACCATCCAAAGGAATAAAGACTACAGGTTTTTTTTTGAAGTAAAATGTAGAATATTGAATAGACGGGTTTGAAATTATTTTTTCGGTTAAATACTTTTTTTCCTAATATTATATTTTACACACCTTAGGACTAAAAGTGTTTGCCTGAGTTAATTAATCCTATTCAATTCGGCTATAGAAATTGTAAGTATTATTACTTTTTTTGTGTTTTAACATTAAAACGATATTTTAGTGAAATCTCTTTGTAATTCTTTGTATTTCTGCCCTTTCGTTATTGCTTGATTTCATTATTTACCATTGAAATACATTACAATTATATTACTCTATAAACAAAATCTTGGCATTTTTAGTATTTAAACAAGTGGAAAATGTGAAAAAATATGTTCAATATAAAAAATGCGTATTTATAGTTAATCGCTTACAATTGTAATATTTACTATACAATGCCATTGACTCGTCCCATGTTTATTGGTACCAGCTAAAAGTTTCAAATCATTAGGATTTTATTAGTTTTTAAACAATTATGTTATAATATTTTTTTATAAAACTATAGTGACCTATTTTCATAAGAGTGTTCAGGTTTTGCGATTTCAATGCAAAATGTATTATGTCAAATAATAAGTTATAACTTTGCCCTTATTATGATATCGTGTATGAATACTAATCGTGTAGAGTATCTAAAATATAAATGTCTTTTATTTAAATTTATGTATATAAGAAATCACATGCTCGTCTAGCACACGTTTTTATTTTTTAATGTAATATAAACGGGCCAATATGCAAACATATATATATATATATATTTTTTTTTGTTTTCTTACAATATTTTAAATTTTGATATGTATGAAGAATTTTTTTAAATTAATTTCTGTCCAACCGAACCCATCTGACAGGCGACAAGCAATTTAATAAAATATGTATTGTTTGTATGTATAATACTAACAAACGACGATACGTGTAAAATAGTTGAAGTTAACAGGTTTGCTATGTAGAGGTCCAAATGAGAGTTGTCTACAATTCCTTTCATTGCATTCTACAAGATTTCCAAGTTCTAACAATAATCTGAAATTACACACAAGCGCCAGTAAATGTTACTATACCATTACTATAGCCGGCATAACGTTGTTCCAGCTTCTCGGTCAATACTCCATTACAGCACATTCATTAATATTTCATGTTGCTCGGTGAGGGTTATGCCTACCACAACGCATGATCAGTATTATGTCATCATCAACAAGGTTAATTGCCGTCTGCTTACGCCTCGCCGTATACTACTTAAAATAATGATATACACCGTGTATATTATAAATATAAAAACATTTTACATGCCAGCTCCAACACTCAAACGTTATTTATAATCAAATCTGCATCACTAAACAAAAAATAATGTCTGCTTAGTATCCGGATTATAAAAAAAAAATAAACGAATTTAAACCATAAATAAAAACTGTAAAGCTCGGCTGACGTGGGGAGTAGTTGTGTAGGATTTGTATTTTGTTGTTTAGCTTTGCTATATCTAAATCGTTTAAATTAAATCCTAACATCGACCATTAAATATTGAAATATTATAACGTATTTGTTTTAAAAATAATTCAAATCAAAATTAATTGAAACAACACTTCAGTTAAGATGCCTAAGCTCAATGGAGCGAACTGGTCGAATAAAAAAGTTAGGTTAGGTGATAGGAAACTGTGATTAATTATCATAAGATTATATTAAACATACTACATACTATTAAAGAAATTGTTAAATGTGGTTGTTAAATTTTAATCCAACGCCATTATTATACTTTATCGTATTAGTTTTACACGGCGTTTTGAGTAGACAATTTTACTACATGCATATTAACAATCCATTCGCATCGTCATCTAAAATAATTTTGTTTTAAAATTTATCATTAATCGTTGTTGGTGTGATTTTTTAAAGTAAATACATTTTACCATTGATTATGTAATAGACAGATAGGCCATACAATATTAATATTTAGCGACTAGCCGTATGATGCAACCGTTATGGAGCGCTTGTGTTATGGAACCCAAGAAGATGTCAATCCCGTATTAATTGATCCAGTAAACCCACAAAAAAAAATTAATTTTAAAAGTTCAACAATATCTTCTGATTCTGACACAGAATATATTTTTTTTAAATCGTAAATTGTGTTTTATTTTAATCTTAATAATGTTTTGATCTCCTTTTATTAAATTGTAAATTGAGTTTTATTTTAATCATAATAATGTTTTGATTTTTTTTTTTTTTAATTGTAAATTGTGTTTTATTTTAATTTTAATTATTTTTATCGCTGTCTTATGTCAACGACCGCGTCGTTATACGGGTTATGCCCAGTACCACGTACCAAAAGTTGTGTTAATTAATTAATTTTTTTTCCTTTAAAATTAAATAAATACAAATCACTGTTATTTATTCTATAAAAAAAAGGCGTTCTAGGCATACACGAGCGAACGAAAGTAACAAAATACGTATGTCCACGTATGGTCCCGTGCGACGCCCGTGTAAGAAACTTATGTATCTGTCGGGATTTCTGTTTCAACCAAAACTATATAAACATTAATAACGTGTATTGCAGTACCATCGGGGTCAATATTCGGATCACAAATCTTCTTTATAAAAAAACAATAGTGGTGGAGTTTACATGACCCGATAACAGGTAAAAAAATAAAACTGGCGAAGTTTACATAAGATCTTTTTTTAAACCTTCATCTACCTGTTATTTTGACGGTGTTCACAATCGCCCAACGCCATCTATCGAGAATTGGCATAAACGGATAAACATGATGTTAGTCGCCGAATACTCCTATGCTATGGGCTATCTGTCTACTACATAATCAATGATTTTACTAAAAGGATTTACAACTTTTAATTTAGGTTTTTTTTTTTCACTGAAATAAATAAAATAATATTATATTATTATTCTCACACAAGTGATGTCAGCTATTTTAATTTACTTATTTATACCACTAACCGTCTAGTCGTTAATAAAAACTACCCACTTATTTTCTGTCTGTTACTACGTGCAGGTTTTTTCACTCTGATTTCTTGTATCTACTTTCTTACTGCTACATTTTTTTTAAACGTGTTCAAACCGGTATAGCTGATTTTTTTTCCAATTGCTGACAAGATTTTTAAAATATGGTAATTTAAAAATTTTAAAACTCTATAAATAATAATCTATTCGTTAATCTAAAAAATCCATTTGAATATCCTTACATAGCCTACATCATAGCCTACAATGACTATTCTCATCGAGTAGGTATTGACTATTTTAAACATTTTGTTATTATTGACATTTTCCGAAGTATTGATTGAGATTACATATTTAAGTATTCCTCTTAAATATATAGCACTTAAAAAAATATATTCAACTAGATGGTTTACGTTTAATAATTAAGAAAAGTTTAAACCTAAAGACACTTTTTAAACGTAAAAGTATATTGATTTAAATTAGTTTTCTTGGAAAACTATTTATGACAGCTTGTGTTGACATTATATAGTGGCTCATTAACATCAAGTTTTAATGCATTTGTCAAAACAACTAAGAAAACCTTAATGATGAGTGAAATAGATGACGTAGAAAGTTTAAACGAAAATATTGCTGCAAAAATATTTACCATAAGAAAACTCGAAGTATTTGTAACACTTCAATTATTTTTTAGCTTGTCATTGTTATAGTATAAAACATAAATTAAAATTATAATAAAAAAATTAATAATAATTTTTATAGTGGGATTGTCTAGCAACAATTTTGTTTAGATGCCTTTGAGATAATAATGGTCACTTATGTATGATAAATAGTGAGGATGTAATTATTTTTAATGTTGTTGACTATAATGTGGACAGAACAATTATACTTCCTTTAAGGAGTAACGATGTTGAACAGAAAAATCGTTGTATAAACAATTGTTTGTTTACAATAGAGATCGTTTAACAAACATCCGTTTCTTATTAATTTCAAAGGAATTCTAGTTAAAACTTTCAAGACAGTCGTGAGCTTAAGTTTATACATCCCACTATAATATTCGAAAACACTACACCACTTATAACAGCAATAAAGCACTCTGTTTTGAATCCTTATTTACATAAATGCTTTAACTGTATATAATACAAATTTCAATATAAAGAAGAACTTAATAATGAAATATTGAATTTAGAGTAAAAAATAAAAAATAAAATAAAACCAAGATAAAATAATGTTTTATGTATGTGTTATCGTTTTATAGCTAATAAAATGTAATTTTGTTTTTAAAGAGTTATTCAAAAATATATATTATATAAATATACAATTATAATTTTTAAGATAATATAATTGTGTGTTATAGGTTTTTATTTTACTATACATAACTTGGTTGATGTACATAAATGTTACCAATTATTTTCGACTCATCTTGATGTTACTATCTAGTTTAGGGTTTAATGGGAATAAGATAATGTACTTTTATTAAATTGTAGATAATGTAAAAAATGTATGTATTTTTAATAAATATGAGTTTATAGTAATAATATGACTACACTATACAATAGGATAAGTATACAGATAAAATAAATTAATTTATGATCACGAGTAAAACGTCTATTATCAAAAATAAATAAGCCAATTTATATAAGTTTTTTTTATTCAATATATTTTATTCACAGAAATGTTTTTTTTAAAAATATATTACTCTTTTTTGTGTTGTTCAACATAATTTACCACCCCTTAGTTATAAGCGTTATCAAGTAAATTTTAAAAACGTTTACCTTGAATGCGGTTCTTCAGGGTCTAAAATTTAAACAACTTTAAACAAATATTTAGTCTCTTCATTCAGTGACTCTTTTATCAATAGTCTACCGAATATGTCGGGATTTAAAAAAAAAATCTTTATTAATTTTTTTACATTTATTTAAACAAATTCCCTTATAATATTTCCATACTCAAACATAATAAATTGCATTATCGATTTCTTTGTTTATTTAAATATAAAAGGATTTTATTTGTAAGCACGTTTGCTGTTTGAACATTTATTTTCTGTTGATTTTACAAAGAGATGTTTTGTTGTTCTTTTTTGCAGTTAACCTTACGGTTGGTTTTGCAGACTCCATGCGCTCTCCACTCGCCTCTGTTGCCAGCTAGCCTGTTTAGAGTTTGCATTGCATTTTTTTCAGTTTGTGAAAAAAGCTTGTTCTTCCCTGATATTAATCTTTGTGAGAGTTTTGAATAATTATCTTGAAAATATATTTTATTTTCATCTGCAAAAATGACTTCTAGTGTTGTGTTACTAATACTCACAAAGGAAACTTGCTCATATTTTCTAAACATGGATGGATCTTTATGAGTTTATTCGGCGGTATCTCTATTTTTTTTGTGATTATTAGAAATATGTTTTTATTGTTCTGTTAAACACCGGTATGGATTTATATTTAATTGTTTTAGCGTTATGATTAATTCGTTGTAATCGATTCACAAGAGTCACAAACAGAATATTTTTTTTCATTATATCTATATTATATTACAATATTTAATAGAGTTTTAATTTAATAAAATATTAATACATTGTTAATAAATTGACACACTAATTTTACATATAAATAACGTCCTATTTGAAACATTGTAATTGATTGAACAATACCAAATTTTAATCAAACTTTATTACCTATGTTATGGACGGGACATACACATTTTACAGCGCTATTATATGAATCCTTACATAATACATAGACTTATGTGACAGCTGAAAACTTGGAACTTCTGTTGTGTGTATTTTTCACTTCCAACGGGGACTGGAAAGGTTATTTATAAAAAGTAAAATGTAATTTCATTATTCCATCAACCGTGTTATTTCGTACTTTATCATGGCTTTATTATGGCATGTGGACAAGTTTGTTACAATTGAACAATAGTTAACGTTCATGTGACGCAAACAGAAAGACCTGGGTTACAATCTGGCCAGTTAGAAGAAAGAAAAATACCATCAATATATTATAGCGTTGACAAGATATAAATGATAGCATTTTTATTTGAAAATACTTAAAATATTTTAAGATAAGAGGTAAAAACTACCGATAAACGATGTACGTCCAAGAAAATATCGCGTGTTAACCCTTTCCACCAGAAAAGGGTAACTCGAGCAAGCAAACTAAAAACCTGCTGTTTTGGTTTTTTTTTTTAATTAAAAATTTTTTTTTTTCTAGATCACAATCGATCTGGACTTGGAGTACTTGACCGAGGGTATGGACCGAATCGACCGGATTTCCGTGTTCAGTTCAAGACCGGAATCGCCTACCGAGTCGACGGACGAACGACAAATGTTGTTGGACGTGCAGCAAAATATTGCCAACCTTGAGAAGTCTTTCATCAGCGGTCAGCGGTCTGACGGCGGCGGCGCAGAACCATCCGGCAGCGTTCAAGACGGGAAAACCCACAAAAAAGGGTTGTTCCGGTATAGTTCTTTTTACACCGAAACCCAACCGACGTCTCCCCCCACTTGCGACCGAAAAAGGTAGGTGTAATCTTCGTTTGTTTTGATATTCAGACACGCGCGCTCTTCTTAAGGCCGGAGTTTGTCGGGGCTTAGGGTAAGCGTTTAACGATACTTTGGGGATTTACCGGAGACCCTCGGATCCAATGTAAATATTGTATATACAGGGCGATCATTTTATCGTGAACCACTCAATATCTCATAGGGTTAATTAAGAAAATTAATTTTTTTTCACATAGTGTTTTATACAATGTGATCTCCATTTTTCACAACTTTTTCTTCGTTTTTACCCCCCTCCAAAACTGATTATCATTATATTAACTTTTGAAACTTTAATGGTAACGTATACATTTTGTTAACTTTTTAAATTATAAATATTTCACTAAAATATGTTGACTGGTTGATAACCAGTTTTGAACAACTATTTTTAAAGCCATTAGAGTTTAAAAGTTAGGACGATAGGAGAAGTGCAGTTGGGAAAAGCGCGCAGATAAGAATTATATTACAATATTACACTCCTAAAATGATCATCCTGTATTATATGGATTCTTTTTGAAAACGCTATTCAAGTGTTATTAATATTTATGACTCGCCAACAAGACAAACCAGTATAATAATAATATTGTAAATTGTCTTGGGCGAACGACCGCGTATAATAAATAACATACAGTAGTATTTGTAACCCTTATAAATCCAGTTTCGATTTTTGTAGCCGCCGTACAATCGGATTAGATCAATTTAAAAGTTATAGTACTTAATATTTAATGCTAATCGACTGTGCGGACCGTATACTCGAGTAAGTTTTGGATAATATGTAAATAAACGTTGAATGCATTTGTAAATATATCCGATTAAAAAATAAATGTATATTTTTGCAATACAGAAGGCTAAAGGATCTATAGAAAATACCAGCCATCGATCCATTTAAACGTTATAATATTTTAGTATTTTTTATATTTACAAAATAGCACCATAAAAGATTTATGTAGAATACAAATAAAAAACATGACTCGATTTATAAACCATAAATCTTATTTTTTAATTAATATTATTTAGGTATTTGAGTACATTGAAACGAGTATTGTTTTATTATAAAATAACACCTAGCAAAATTATTAATATTGCAATTTCGTTCCATTATAAATTATATTGTACAACCCACTCAGACTAAATAGCTTAAACCGTTAAATTGTATTGCTTTTGAGTTTATACTTTTCAGAATTGTAATATAATTGTGTTATAAACTTAGTGTAGAAGTATAATTTACTTTCAGGTGAACCATAAAAAAGTCATGGCAAATATCATATGAAATAATATAATCAGATCGATAGACATTATACTTTTATTATTCCTTTGACTTTAATCCTATGTAAGAACTTTAAACGAGTGTCTTGAGTTTTTTTCTCGATAACTAACATTATGGAAAAATAACAAAATATGCTTTCATGTATGTCGATTTATATACAATAAAAGTGAACATACATTAAAGTATTATAATAATACAAAAAATTAAAATTAAAGTACCTTTCCTATTTCGGAAATAAATATATTAATAAGAATCGGCAATCTGATTTTTCGAACTGATCGTTTATTTTAAGTTAATAACTTTATTTGCAAAGGTCGTCTTTGTTAAACAAATGTGTACACATTCCACATCCAGTCAGTGTGCTGTTATATATAATAGCCTATTTAAAATATTGCAGTGTTAAAACGGCCAAAATAAATGAGCCCATAATTTTATGTCAAAAAAAAGGAAACCCCTTTTAATAGGGTTTATCTCAAATGTCCAGGAAAAAATAATCCCAGAGAATGAAAATTTTCAAAATATAAAATAGCTCTCAAACCCGTATTTAGGTGTTGCCTTAGGAATTAGTAGTTTTTTTTGAAAATAATTCATATTTTAGATGTATTAAATCTGTTCAATATCGTATGGCTGACGATATTTGACGAGTCCAGCAAGAATTTATGTTATTAAATATGATAGTATTATGATGATGTTACAAACAAGAGACAAACAGCGGTTAAAAGGAAAAGTGGTATACTGCAGCTGTTTTAATTAAAACTGAGTGACTTTAGTATAGTTCTAACCCAAAAACCGTATTTACACAGGCTACGTTAATTAATTCCATCATGCAGCACCATAGCTGATGAAAACATTGTTTTAAAATTATAATTTTTACTTTTTAACGGATTTTCTGAAAGAATATGCGGATTGGTTTTATATATCGTAAAGTATTTTAAAATGCTAGAAAAAAAAAGTCTTAATAACAGAATTTCCGAACATGTATTTTCAACAAATAAATCTTTTAGTTTTATTATGAAAGCTTAGAAACCCAAAAACATTGAAAGGTATTCTAACGAATTTATGTAATATTAAAACACGCATATTAATTCAGAAATGTTTTATATTTTGCATTATAACAACTTATTACATTTTTAGCTCTTCCCAGATTTTTATCAACTGTTAAAACTTAAATGACAACGTATATACATATTTTATACACTTCTTAAATAAAGAATAATTTGCTATAAATGTTGACTAGTCGATAATCAGGATAATTACTTTCAAAGTTTGTAGAGTTTAAAGTTTAGGACGGCCGGTGGAGTGCGGAGCATTGTTAAAGTAATTGCTTAAAACTAGTCATAAGTGTCTCAATTACTTTCCGAGAAAACTAATAATTATAATAATTGTGATTTTGTTCGACAGTCGGGGCACGATATTCAAGAAAGGCGTAAAGAGCTTAATGCGAATGGGCAAACACAGGACTTCGCCGGACAAAGAGGCACTTGTCGACAGCGACGATAGCGCACAAACGGCCCCGACGATTGGCCATCAGCGTGGGCAAGGCACCGAGACCAGCGACTTGTCGTCCGATAACGAGTCCGTCCGGTCGGTCCAATCGGACTACTCGCCAAAGCCCAGGAAGTCGGTGATCGCACCACAGTGACTTGTTTTACCTTGCTTGTATAACCGACTTTCGGGGGTTTTATTTTTTAGACCGCTAAAGCACAAAGACCATCTGAACGCCCTGCAAAACGCTCTCAAGTCCCAAGACTTCCAGGTGTGCGTGACCATCGTCGAGGCCAGACAGCTGGCCGGACTCAACATGGACCCGGTGGTTTGCGTACAGGTGGGCGAAGTCAAAAAGTACACCAGCGTCAAAGAGAGCACCAACTGTCCGTACTACAACGAAGTATGTACCCAGAGGAGGATTTAGTTTTTTTACGGTTATAGGCGCTATTAAACTGTTACCACTATTATAGATGAACAAAAAAAAGGGGTGGGGCTTAGTCTCGTTCAATGTACAGTTCCGTTTTAGGTGAAAACAGTAATATTGTCTGAATCAAAACTGAGTACGCATAAACAGGAGTGTATAACATAATATCAATTTTAATAAGAGTATGGTATTCATTTATGTTTCAAATTTAATTATAAATCTTTTAATTGTTAGGTGTTTAATTTTTTTTTTTAACTAAAGAAAATAATAATTAGAATTGTAAAAACGGTAAACATGCGAATTATAATAATATAATTATTATAATAATAATAAAACTTCATTTTTTTTATTTTTTTTAAACATGTCGAAAATCAATAATAAACTTTTCTAATTTGAATTTTTTTTGTAAAATACTAATTGTATAGTTTAAAAGAATAACTGCATAAACTTTTTCTAAATTAAAAAAAAAAATTACATTTAAAAATGTTAATTCTTCTTTCTGATTGAAACGTATTTAATGTTATATTATTTTTTATAATAATATAAATTATAAAATAGGTAATGAATTATTGTATAATTATGTTTTATAATATACAACATAATATTATTTTGCTTTAATAAATTTCATTGTATAAAAGTAATACATTAATAACGTACCCCATACTTATAAGATAGAAGCATAATTTAATTTAGAAAAAAATCAACCCTCTGGGGGTTGGAGAGGGGAGAACGGTTGGGGATCGATATAAAAAAAATTATGAGAATTTTCGAACCGATTAGACCGGACCCAAAACGAGGACACGGACTTAATCTAAAAACAGTGGAATGTTTTTCAAATGGACTTGAGTTAGCGGCTATAATTCACGGTTTAAATTACGTGACTCACATAACGAATGCCTGCCGCGGAGTTACTCTTATAGACATATTTAATGAGAACTTCTTCGACTTACTTTGCGGCTGCAATCGGACAAGACCGTTTTCTTACCAGCGCCTTATTTCTTATTGATATATTTTGCCTACGGCTTTCCCGACTGGTCGGTGCTCGAGTTTGTGTGTTTAAAAATTTAGAAAAAAAACTCGAGCAACCTAGTAGTACTTAGGTAATTTGTTTGCCTTGTAATTTGCCTAAAGAGCAACACAATACCCTGGAAATTACACTGGGGCGGCAAAGGAATTATACAATAATTGTTCAAGTTAAAACCGTGTACTTGGAAAGATTGTCTATCATCAGGCTTAAAGATGAATTTTTCATTTAGGATACTTCATCCTGAATGAAGTATTCTAAGAATATTACACATCTATTGAAGCAGCTTTTCTTTCACAAGTTTATCTTACTGTTATTTTCAAAGGTTTCGAAATCAAGGTGCATCTCGTCCTCTTATATTTTTATTACTCAGTTTCCATAAATTATTTATTCGTTTCTTTATCCATTTTGTCGGCAATAGAAACTGTCGCGTTGTAAAATGTAATGTTTCGTTTTCCGTCATCTTAATAAAGGCGTTGTATCTATTTTCTTTAATGGCCATTTTATTCTATTCAATTGTGTACCAAAGCACCAACACCTATTAGTCGTTTAGTCGACGTGACAGTGAATAATCACTATAAATATTTTATCTTTGAGTAATTCACAATATTAAAAGTATAGTTAACACAGGCAATTGTGGACTTACGGTCTTTTTAATATATTGGTATTTTGCAACAATAATGACAGATGTAAGCGTTGAATTTCTAATTGTGTTTATATAATACAATTGTAGAAAATAAGTATATTATTGAGTCTTAATAGTATTGCATTAGATATACTAATTAAAAGTGTATACATTTGTGGATAAAAATATAAATTTATATAAAACAATTCTAGCAATTACGTTTTACAATCAAATGCTAAATGTTTAGAAAAATTCGGTAAAGAAACCGAATATGAGCTAAATGTAACTTTTCCAAATCAATTCCAAAACATTCCATTAAAATAGCATGCCAATTTGTCTATAAAAAAAAAGGTCAAAAAACATGAAATGTTCGGTTATCTTTTTTAATTAAAGAACACAAAGTTATACTTAGAGCATAAATAAAATAATGTCCACAATATTAATAAAATATTTTTTTTTTAGCTTTACTTGATGTATTAAAACAATTTTAGTACCTATCCAAATAATATTATTTATGACTTGGAGTATACAAAATTAAACACTTAAAAAAACACGTTTTTTACCTTACAACGGTTCATTTTAAATAACTGAGTTTTGTAAAACTTTTAGAGCGCATAACAAACAGTTTCAAACTAAAATAAACTTTTTTTAAATTATAAAATGTATTCAATAGTTTGATAAAAATTGAATACATTAGTTATTAATTAGTTTTACATTTTGTGATTGAGTATACCTATTAAATATGTATAATTTATACGTATAATATTATGCTAATGTACTTTCTATACTGTACTAACATTGATATTAAATAAATTGGCATTACAGTTTATGTGTTTTTAAATTTAAGTTACCATTAAAAAAATATCAAAAACGTCGTACGCTCTGATATATAAGTATTGTATAGTTATTCATATTTAATCAAATATTTTCATTTCAGTATTTTGTGTTCGACTTCCACATGCCGACTGTGATGTTGTTTGATAAAATCATTACATTATCGGTAAGTTTTTTTAAAATTTTAATTACTGTTGTTTAATAATTTTCTACTAAACAAATATGTTAAGGTGCAAAAGTAACTAACTAGATTTTAATCGCGGTAGAAATAACCGACTTAATTAAGTAACATACATGTATTACTTACATAACTTTATATTTTTAATTTCCAAGCCAAATACAATATTGTAAATGTTTCAAATACATTTATATTAAATTATAAGAAGGTGTATGCTTCCTTTAGGCTATACGGCAAATATTTGCTATACACTCATTCTCGAAAACAGAAACCATTTTGAATTTCCAATTTAACAATAAATAAAATACAATTCAAAATGAAAATATACAATATAGGCCAAATACAGAAAACAAACAAAGCAAACAATGGCTTTAAAATAAATAATGAAGTCAAAAATTGTTTCTACAGTGTTATTAGTAAACTAAATAATCGTGATTGAAATCTATGTATTTAAAAAAAAACACTACCTCTATTTTGTCTCTTCGTAAATATCCGTTTCTAATTATTTAATTAGGTATTTATAAATTGTTGGTAGGACAAATTTAGGTATTGATACATATGAAACATTTCAGATAATTCAGCGATATTTAAGTGTATATAATCATATACATTTATGTAATTGTGTAGACTATATATATGAAACTGATTTAGAATATTCCATTGGCAATCGTTAAAACATTATGGAAAAAAATGTATATCTTATTAAAAAATAAACGTCTTCAGGTTTTGCATTCTAAAAAAATCCTAAGGTCAGGCACGGTGGTTGGATCGTTCAAGATCGACTTGTGCACCGTCTATAATACGCCCGGTATATAAATATTAGTTTTTTTTTTTTTTTTTAATTTTTTGATTCATTATTCAAATCTGTCATGTTTACATTTCTTCCGAATACTACACAAAACACACTACATACACTTAAAACACACTGTCGACACTGATAGCTGTTATTATTACAATAGATATATTATTATTATTATTGTTATTGTAACTATTTTTCAACTCACACCGTTTGCTTGTTAATCATATTGTTTGCCTTTACTTTTTTGTATTTTTATATTATACCGCAAAAATATCCATGTTTAGTGCAGTATAATTATTACACTGCACTGTTGTTGTATACAACATTGATTTTGATTAAACGCGACAAGTTTATATATTTGTTTTATCGATTTCTAATGCTAATATTTGTTCTGTACAACAACGAAGACTACTAAAAAAAGGGTTTTTTTTTGCTTTGACGCAAAGCTAAGAAATTTAGTTTTGTTATTATTTATTCTGTTTGTTTTACTGAGCCTGAACCGATTTCTTTGTGTAGTCTGTGGGTTTTTGTATAAACCACAATAATAAATATATAAACTATATTCGCGAATTATACAATTCTGAAACGCTTTGAGATTAATATTTGATAATTTGGAAAGCAATATGATAAGGTCTATTTTTTGTATGTTTCAACAAATACCAATAAATTACTTAAATTAAAATAACAAACATATATATATAAATCATTTATAACATATTATTAAATATTAATATAAGTATTGGGAAAATTATAAAATAAACATATGTTTAAAATACTTTGCAGCTCTGCCTAACATCGATCGTGACGATCGTAAAGTGGTAGTTTCACGCCTAAGTCTATTAAAAAAAATGTATTTAATTTTTAAATATAATAAGTATATGTACAGATTGTAAATGTTATTTAAAAAAAAAGTATAATATACCTCTCAAAGATAATAGTTCTATAGGTTTTCTAAAAAAAATCCTAGGTCTGTAAGGGTTTAAGGTTTTAGCGTTAATTGTATTTATTATTTATTTTTTCGAATTTTAAAAACTATTTTCATCGACGGATGTAACATTATAATTAAAAACTTTTATATTTATCAATTGGGAAATATAAACAATGAAAAAGGGTTTATTTGTACATTTTTTAACCAGTTATTTTATTTATTTATTTAGTTATTATTAAAAACACAATTATTACAATTTCTATAATTGTACTGCCTTGTACAAAACTAAAGGCTTATACAATTAAACCTAATTATATATAATTACGTTTTCATTATAAGAATAATTTTAAAGCTTGTTCTTTATAAACGGTACAGATGTACTGAAAAATTGAATCTCTCGAAAGCATTCTAATAGTTAGAAAAAATTAATTTTAATACAAATTCTTGATAAATTTGCGTTTGTTGTTTTTGTTTTGTTTTCTGTCTGTCCATAATGTCCGTAAAGGTCTTACAATCAAGGCACATATTAAAAGCGTCGAAACTGTGGGGCAGCTTTAAATTAGACGTTGGCACCGTCTGGTACCAACCAGGTACTTTATGGAGATACCTACCTTAACGATTGTATTGAACTCGAAATCAAATCATGTATAATAGATATTACTATCTAAGTATTGTGCGAAAACGAGATATTTTAGGAATGGTATTTTTTGTTTGTAATGTGTGTTTTTATTAGTATTTTTATTTCTAGATAACTAATCAAAACTATATAAACAACGTTTTATTCAATTATGTTAGAAATATCAAATACATATTATAAGTTTTTGCTTCCTAATGACATTTTCATATTTCATCTTTATTTTTATTTTTATTTTTTAAATAGGTATTTATTTGAGTTTGACAATTGTTTCTGCACGTTACATATATTATATTATGTCACATAGTAGACAAGTGTGTTTTCCTTGCATGATTTTATTTCAAAGATTACACAATATTATCGTTAAACCAATGTATTAGATTTCAGAACAATTTGAACGAGTATTTTGTTTTTTTTTTGTTTTATGCTTTGTTGATATTGTATACGTTGCTGTCAAATTAAACATTATCTTCTGTCATGTATTTAGTTGACAGACAGAATATTGTTGATGGGCATATTATATAATTTGTTGACGTTTTATCGTTTTCGATACTGCTTAGGCCGTGGCAAGTACCCTAACTCTAATTTAAAAGTCAATAAAACATATTACATAAAATTCCACTAATTCTGTACGTTTATTTAGAATAGTTTTCAAATGTATTTTCAACTTCTATTATTATAATGCTAGTTTTCTTTTAAATTGTATTATATATATATATATATATTAATAAAATTGTATACTGAAGTCTGTAACTTATACACAAACGTATTATTTAATTAATATTTCATAAAACTAAACTTTTGATGTTTTCATATTAAATTGCATCTGCGTGAAAATTATAGAAGTTTCCACAGTTAAACAAATGGCGAAATGCCATCGTTTGAATTAATTTAATACAACGGGATGATCACCGAAAACTTTGCAACAAATTTAAATAATGATGGTTATATATGACGTTTCTGCTAAACAAAAAAACGTTTTGAATGTGAAAATAGCAAAAACTCTTTTTGTACCATTAATTTTTTTATATTTTTGCAGATAATTAATTATTTCGTGTTTTCTTAGGCATTCACAGCCGACGGAATTATTCTCTTTCCTAAGTTAAAATGAAAAATACGATGGGGCAGAAATCAAAAGCGTTTCAATAGAATATTTTCCCAATAATACATCTTATTTATAAAAAAATAAATAAAAAGTTGATTGACTGAAAACAATTGACTTTATTATTGATACATTTAATCAGGATTAACTATGAAAATCATAACTTAAATATAATTACAACTAATTGAAAAAATATTTTTGAAAGGCTTTAGAGTTTATTGACTTGTACAACAAGAGATTCATGTATAAAAATATCAAGTAATGAAGTAAGTAAGTAGTAGCAAAATGGGGCTTTACCGCCCATTTTATACAAATTCTAGTTTAACCTTATATATTGTTTAGTATAGAAAATTCTTTTGCAACATTGAGTGTTTTACTAAATAAGAAGTGGAAGAAATAAATCATATATAAAAACATGTTTCAAATAAACTAAAAATGACTATAGTTTATTTGAAACATGTTTTTATATATGATTTATTTCTTCCACTTCTTATTTAGTAAAACACTCAATGTTGCAAAAGAATTTTCTATACTAAACAATATATAAGGTTAAACTAGAATTTATATACAATGGGCGGTAAAGCCCCATTTTGCTACTACTTAAGTACATAAATTATTTTCAAGTACACACGACTAGACTAGTGGAAAACGGTTACACGTTTACAATTGTTGTTTTTGCTTGCTTTAGATAATAATAAATTAAATATATGCCTATCAACAATGTCGTTTGAAAATCGCTAACACGGACTTGAGTATATCAAATTTTCCGTTTCGTCGGTTAAGAAAGAAAAAATTCTGTAACGTTTGCATGGTTATGTGTGTCTTTCAGAACACCAGTTCTATCACAAATGGGCTTTGCTGACAGACCCGGACGACATAGCTGGCGGACCCAAGGGATACCTAAAATGCGATATTAGCGTCATAGGCAAAGGCGACACCATCAAGATCCCGCCGAAAACGGAAAAGGACGAAGACGACATCGAAGCGTGAGTGACCTTTTTCCCCCTTTGCTAGTTGTCTATGCAAAATTTAATTTGACTGGTACAAGACGGAAAAAACAAGGAAAGTCAATTCTTTTTTTTTTAATCTAAGAAAAACATGTTGACATTCTGCTAAAAAACGTTAAGAGGCATCTACACTAGTATTTATTAGAGCGTATTGTACAGCAAATTTTTCCCTAAAACTAAACATTAAGCTAAAATGTTTAAACGTACATATTACCATGGAAAGAAGGATCAATTTTTATATTTTATTTTATTTTTCAACTTTTATGACGCATATAGGATCTGTTTTTGTACAAGGACATATGTTTCTACTTCAACTAGAACTTACCCGAAAAAACTCCCATCTAAGTTATGAAAAAACAATTTTATAACAACAAAATAGTCGTTTTAAAAAGTGATTTTTCCTTTTATTTTCCCTGTACTTACGCTTCATTTCACGTCCGAAATTCGGTACATACTTCTCAATAACGCTTTGACCTAACATGCTCTGCAAAACGCCATAAGCCGCCATTGATTTCACAATCCTATTTTGATTTATGCAAATGTATTCAAATATTTCAGACAATAGTTCTATACTCAAATTTGGAATTCAAATTTACAAACAACCTTACTTGTTTTGAAGCCATTCGCCGTTACTTTGGCGAATAATTAACATTTTTTTTTTTTTAAGAACGAACTAACTAGGTATTTTTTTTTGGGGGGAGGAGGGGGTAGAGTATACAAACCCAATAAATCCAAAATGTTATTTAGATCTATAATCAGTCGAGTTGTGAACATACCAGGACTTATGAAACAGCAGAATACTTTTTAATAAAATGTATGTTAAAGGGAATGAAAGCGGTCTGTTTTTTTTATGTTTTGAACCAAAAAGCCTGACAAAATATTGACTACTTAGCTGGTCCGATTTCAATTCAATAACTCATAACTTTTAATGATAATCGTTTCCCATCATAACTCAATAAAGGCCTCACAAATTCTTATCCTTTTACAGAATTGGAAATGGATTAGCCAAAGTCTCACAATTTTGTCACAGCAGACGCATTTCCTATTACCACAACACCTATTACTCTAAGAAAAAATTAAATAAGTTAAAAAAAAATACCCCGAAGCTGTACGAATAAATCTGAAAAAAAATTGACACTGTTAAAATGTATTAAAATCACTTTGTTTATTAAACATTGCCTATATAAATCTCATTAAAACCCCCTGCTTTCAACTACTCTCATATTTTAGTTTTGTGTACTTATTTGAAATAAAATAAAAGATAGACATTGTATGATATTTTAAAGATATGACATTTGTTTTATTAGCTTTTCTCTGAATCCTGCAATAGTGTAGTTCGACAACGAAAGATTATCTGTTATAACTTGTAGCTTTTAGTTTTGAATTATATAGTATACTTGCATTACTAGGTACTTGTGTTGGACGGTTTGTGGGTACAAGGGTAGTAAGTCAAAACTACTTTTGGTGAATTAGCTTTAAAGTTAATAATTTCTGTAAGACTCTGTAAGAGTTTTGTCAACAAATTAAATTTGTCGACCAAACTCTTAATGATTTTTTTAGTTTTTGTTATAGAAATGTTATTTTATTACACTATATCATACAATTAAACGGTATATTGTAATTTAAATATTTAGTTACCTAAATCAATTAGCCGAAGTTTGACTAAGTACTCCGCGCGCTGCCTGAATTATTTTTTATTTTAAACATATTATGAGAGACTAAGTGAAATAATACTACTACTAAAATAATGGTCCGAGATCTTAAAAACATTTTTATTTTTATTATCGTTGAACTCTCATAAATATTATAACCGTAACTTCCGTCCAAGTTTAATGTTTCCAAGATGATAAATGTCAGTTAGGTATAAGTTAATTTCTGGCGATTGCGTGTGACATTTGATCTTGTTTGGTAAACAACCTAAAGATAAAACGATTTTTATCCATAATAATGTATAATGGTCTTCTAACGACCGTATATTATTTCAATGCCCGTAACAGTTTTGGCGTCTGAGCGAGGACATCCTTTGGGTTGTGGAATTTTACACATAAACAGCCTCCTTTGTCCCATGTTATTGATTCTGAAAGCAGAATGGCTGAGGACAAGGGATTCGGTTGGAAAATATTAAAAATAACGTAGGCAAATCTATCTCAAAATTTAAATAGACAACTGCTGCGACATTCATTTACTATATTGTTTGACGTTTTATCGCTGTTGTAATTCTTTGACGTTTATGTGGATTAATAATTTCAATTTTTCGAAACTTTACTGGTAGTGGTAGCCCGCGTGTCTCTTTTCATCAATAAATAAATATACATGTATTAGAATTATGATGAAAATTCGGTATTACACATATACATCATGTTATAGAAAATATTCATAAGTTTCCACGGATAAAAATGTATTGTAGACCTTCGCCATTCAGCAATTTACTTAAGTACATTGTTGAAATGTAAACATTACCAATACAAAAATGTTAATCAACAAAGTGTATATTCTCTTCATGGGTCAGATCTATTTATATGTGTAAACTAAGTTCTAGTACAATGTGGGCACTAACTCATCCGGTAGACATTTGTAGTCGATATAATGGCTAACAATAAGTCATTTTCGATATTGATCATGACCGATGTGTTCGACAATCAATGTCGTTAGTCTGTTGTATTTCATGATTTCTATTTAAAGCTAAATCACCAACGCTCAGGGGCGCCTCCTTGTGTACATACAGGATTTAATGTAAGCGATAACGTGGTACCTATCGCTGTATTTGTCTTATTTGGTCAATATATAGACTATTGATTGCGATAGGTCCGATAGAAAACAATCACTAATAAGTATAATCAAGTAAAGTACTTAGTTCCAACGAATTACACCGTTTTTCAAGTAGAGTAGTGTTTTTAGTTTTAATTAAACACAAACCCGATTTAGTTTTTAATTCAACATATCCAATTAAAAAGCATATAACAAGAGTGGGCGAGTCACGTCGATTTCGAGTGAATTTGAATTTAATCATTTTAGGAACAAATACATTAATCATACAAATTGTTTATAATCTTTATTGTGTAATTTGCTTAACTATTAATCTAGTGTAACAAAACTATTATAGTTCCGGCTAATAATAATATTATCTACACACCCCTAATTAATAAAAACCTTTTTTTTTCGATTTTTACTGAAAACTTCCTTCAATAATAACAGAAGGGCACAGGGGAAAAACGGTAGTTGTCACATTATGAAAATTTTAGAGTATAGCAAAAACAAAGTTCATGAATTCCTTTACCTCTTACATAAGAACAAAAAAAATCACATTAAATGCTACTCTAATAATAAATGTATTTATTTAAACAATCTATTGACAAAAATAAAAAAAATTATTATCACAAATTGAAAAAAACTATTTGAAAAAAAAATTTTCATAATGTGACTACTACCGTTTTTCCTCTGTGCCCTTCAATTGTTTTTATTTTATTTCAGAAAAGTACTTAATAGTAATAAAGTCTGTAGGTATATTGCGTAGAAATAAATGAGTCTTGGATAGAAACAGGCACCTAATTAAAATATGGCATTGTTTTAATGCTAGTAGATCTTTTAGACATTTTTCAATATATTTTGAAGTTCAGACTAATCGCCGGTTATCAAATCGGTGGATGGGAAGTGAAAGACGGCAAACTAAAAATCTGATGGTTGACCTACTGATTTAAGTTATCCGGTAGTTAGTTATCCACCAGATAAGTGGAGTACTGAAAATCCCGTCCCTTAGTTGTCCTAAAAATTGTATTTCAGTCGCCTTTAACGTACATAGATAAATTAGTACGGTTACGTTGGTTTTTTTTTGTAAGCCTATTGAAAACGAAAAAAAAAAATATTGTGCTTTTAAAATAGTGTCTCAGCTAATGTGTGAAATTCAGCATTTTCAAGTGGGGTAAAATAACCGCGTTTCTTCGGTGATACTGACAGATGGATAATGTGATTAATAACGACCATATTATTATATTATATGGCATGTCACCAGCGAAGCGATGACGCTGTAATAACATTACAGACGGTTCGGCGCGTTTAAGCTAAACGCATTTAATTTTAGTCAGTTTTTCGGTGCCGTTGATTGATGTATTCTATACGAATATCAATTATCACGAGGGGAGATGGGGGGAGGGGCGCTAAAATACAGTGATTGATTTACCGTAACGCTTTACTGATTGCTATCCAACAGGAACCTGCTGTTGCCCGACGGCGTGCCGGTGGATAGACAGAGAGCCAAGTATGTGGTGCGCATATATAGAGCGGACGGATTGCCGAAGATGAACAGCACGCTGGTGGCTAACATGAGAAAAGCGTTTACCGGTGAAAGTCGAGACCTGGTCGACCCTTTTGTGCAAGTATCGTTCGCCGGTCTGACAGTAAGTCCAACCCTGTTTTTATATTTAAAGCTCACCCTCGAGTCTATTTGAAAGATACAATGGGAAAAAGAAAATGTTAATTTAGGTCTTATAATATGCACATGTTTACCTACGTGAACAGATTTCCTGATTGAAAAAACTCCTCTCCGAAAAATCGTAGAGAGTATTATTACTATATTATGTATTATAAAAATCGGATACAGAAACGAAATACAAAGCGATTTATCGGTTTAGATTATACGTCACATACATTTTTTTGTTTAATATTCTCATACGGTTTGATTTATCAAGGATGTACAAGATGATCAATTTAACGTAAGACACTCATTTTTTCGGAGGGTAATGACAAATTTATAATTTTTCTTTTTGTTGTCTTACAATATTATAAAATGACTAAATACTTATTTTTTTTAGTATCGTTCCAGAGCTCTATCGACGTTTGAAACTTGAACGGTATATATTTAGGTATTTTTTTCAATTGAAAACATTTGCCGATATTTGCTGGTCGATAATCAGTGTTAGATAGTTACTTTAAAAAATTTAAATGTAGGACGGGAGGGGAGTGTGGTTGAGTAATGCGTGCAGATAAAAATAATATTTCACTTCACCTTTTCTACTTTCCTAAACTTTAATAGCTTAAGAAGTAATTGTCTAAAACTGGTTATCGACCAGTCAACATTTCCAGAACATTTGTCTTAATTTAAAAGCTAGTTAAATATACACGTTAGCTATTAAGTGGTAATTGTCTATAGAGCTCTGGAAATCAATAAAATAAGTAAATATTTTGGTAATTTTATAATATTGTAATTTTACATAAACATAAAAAAGAAAAACTATAGCATTTGTATTACTTCCCGAGAAAATAATTGTCTTACGTTAAAATGATCACCCTGTAAATAAGTTTATTTTTAATAACCGTACAAAAAAATGTATACCTATAGTTTAAGGTTTTTGATCTTAGGTGTTTTTTGGAATACTTAGGTTTTGTCGAAAACAAAATGATTTATGCTATATAGTTAAAATCTAGAAAGAGGTAAAGAGATAGAGAGAGAGTGCCAGAGAACGATTTTAACTTGGGGTTTACTACTAGTATATGCTTTTAAATTATATCCGTATTATATTATACTATAAACACCATATTATGCAAATATATATACATCATCGAGTTTATTCGATATTATCGAGTTAGCTTAGTTAGCGTTCATAATTCATCTGAGCTTTAAGAAATAACAATGTTTGTTAACGGCCACCACGATAATGGTCTCCAATGACATAAAAGAGGAATCACTAATTTAGCTCATATTTATTATGTAAAGGGTCTAAAAAGGATAACTATGTACAAATATTCAAGTCCATAAAAGAGGTTTATTATTATTATGCATTTGTAACAAGGTCAATACGTATACGGTATACATTTTAATCACGGGATGGGAGACCCTATAAAGCCTCGCAAGAGAGCTTAATCTAGAACTAAGTATTTGCCCGAAGTAAGATGCTTAAACTGTACGATTTTCACAAAGTTAATATTATGCCCATTTTACACTTTATCAAGTTCAAATTATTATCATAACTTAAATCCCTACATAGTATATACTTTATTATAATTATTAACATTAATGATTTATAAATAATGAAATTTTATTTTTAAAAAAATGTTTTTTTGTTAATATATGTATTTGCAGGCAGCAGAAATTTCAAAATATTTTTTTGGGTTGTTTAAAATAGTTTCTTGAAAAACTTCTTAATAAAAAAAAAATCAAAGGCTGTGAGATCATTTCTAAAGCATTTTTTCCTGTTGCAGGAAGTATTTATTAGGAAAAATAACTTAACTTAAAGTTTTATAATCAGTACAACTTAATATTTATTTACCCTTTAATTAGTTGGCTTATTTAAAATGGCTCCTACATCAATTTTTGTCAAATATTGCCTATATTTTACCCCTTAATAAAATAGATAGGGGTAAGTGGGGTGCCTACACTTAATAGGACGAGTGTTAATGAAAAATTGTAGATAGAATTAATAATTGTATTTTTTAAATGTATTAAACGTTTAACATCTGGTGGTTAAAATTATTAATTAAAATTGACTATTTATTATTTTCAGTTGAAAAAATTAGCTGTTGCACTTGTCCTATTAAGTTTCAGCCACTTGGCCCTTTTAATCGTTTTTTTAATAGAAACCCTCACAATATTGTTTTAACTTTTATGGCTGTATTTTTCATTTCATATATCAATTTAAGTCGAAACAAAGAAACTACGGACTACCTATAGCAGGACTACCCATAGACTTTTTTTAGCGTAAACTCATTGAAAATGAATAATGTAATCGTTTTATTCTCCAAAAGTAGGAAGGTATAAACGATATTTTATATTAATTTAAATAATATGGAAAACCGATATAAAAAAATATATATTTTTTAAAATTTATGTATTGAAATATAACGCCCAAATGGGCATGGGATATACATAAAAGGGTAAAACCATAATATAGTTTAAAAAAGTAATTCATTAAAATGACCATCAATAAAAACGTTAAAATGTACACAGAAAAAATTCACAGTGAGATAAGGTACATAGTTTACGAGCGCATTAATAAAAAACCGGCATAATTTGATCATTTTTGACGTATTTATGTTAAAATATACAAAATCTACAAAAAAATAGTTTGTTTTCCGGCAATTAAAAAAAACTTATAATTTAAATTTAAGCCTATAGGGGCACACCAAATAAATATCTCTTATACATTTCAACACGATCCGACTACTTTTTTTTCGAAATTATAGCCAGTAAAAGTTTAAAATTGAAAACTCTTATAGTTTCCCTCATTTTAAGGGTAAAGGAGTAAACTTTTTCAACTTTTACCCCCCTAAGGTACCACTTATATAAAATTTGTGATTTATATAGTTAGTACCCAAGGAAACTGGGTCTAGTAAAAAAAAGTTACAGTGGGTACAGACTAAAAAAAACCCACATCATAGTAAAAACAATAGCCTTTCAACTCCGCATCGAAGTTAAATTAAAATTGTTTGGCACCTGAAGTTGGTATAAAAGATATAGGTTAAAAAATCTCTTTGGTTGCAAAAACAGAAATTGACTAATCACCTACAGCACACCAAGCATTTAAGTATTTATTTTTCATTTTAAGTTTAAAACGTTTGTATTGTAAAAACGAAAGCAATGACACATTCTAGGATAGTAGATTAATCTTGAAGTTATCACTTTGTTGTCGTGGTATGGACAAATTTGTACTTGATCATTAGAAAATGTATAAGGGAACCTTATAAGCACTACTACTAAACACGGCTACATTTATTGATAAGTCACACCAACTGCGTTTGACAGAAAGGTTTATTTATTAAATGGGTCGAACAAAAAGTAATGACCCACTTCAATTTAATGTTTTACTGTCAAGATTGTAAACCGTTATTCGGATGTATATTCGGAGTTATTGCACTATAATATTACACTCGTTATATTAGACACGACTGCGTCGAATCAAAAGATGTGACCGTCAATCACTGTCCTTTTATATTATTCATATAATCGTTCAGCTTGTCTTTATATATTGTTGGCGTAGTCAGGGCCGAATTATTACATTTAGTCGAATAAAATATGTTGAAAAATTGTTATGACTTTTCATTAAAACTACCAAACAATGGTTGGAAGTTCTAGGAACAAATACGATACAAATATAGAGACATTTCTATTCGAATGGGACAAGAAAATAATATAACAGTTTAACTCTCAAAATCTCAAAATCTTCAAATAGGTTAACGACCGAATGAAAAATATAGTTTTATAAACTATAATATTATATAATTTCTTTGCTAAACATCTAATAATAAAGTTATTTATAAAAATATTCAGTAACAAAAATTACACTCTTCTAGATAAATTATTTTTCTACATGTAATCGTCATAATATCTATTTACGTATTATTTAAAGAAAGAGTAAAGGGGTTTAAAACGAACAAAATAAAACATTATAGTGTTTTAATATCTAGTTGTTCGGTATTCTTGAAATATAATGTCTTCATAAAATAAATTAAAACTCATCTGTAAAAAAGTACGGTGCTTAAATTAAAAATGTCGTCGGCGAAATTGCACTTATTGTATTAATACATAACGAAAGACATTATTAAGTATTTAAATGTATAATTGTTTCGGCGCAACAATGGGATTATTATAAAACAAAAAAATAGTAATTATTCAGCGGATGTATTTTCCCCGGTGAATAATTTTAATTATACGTTTTAGTATTGTTCAACCATATCTACCATACTTAAATTTAAAAAGATAATATAATAATAATATTCCACTGGTTTTAAACGATTAAATTACCAAAAGAAGCTTTAAGCTTTAATTACAAAATACCAGTAATTTTAGCGTTATCATTATCCGACTAACGGCCACAGATCTCAAAGGTCAAATGTAAGTTTTTGGCGAAAATTAATTAGATCTTTCAACATTTATATTAAAACAACCATTATGTCGAATAAATCAATTGCTTTTCCAAGAAATGAAAAAGTTGCGAAGCGCTTGTAAACACAATTTAACAAGAAGCCCATAATGAAAACAAAGAAATTTAAAGCTCATTTAATAAAAGTTACAAAAAGGAAGACCTGCGGCTCGGCAGATATTGTTAATAATCGATATACGAATTGATGTTTGGCAAGACAAGGAGTTGTGTATAATGCTAATGACTAAGCTATGGATTTATTTGTTTGTTTTTTTTTTATCAAGGGCAAGACCAGTGTAAGAAAGCACAGTTACTCGCCAGTGTGGAACGAACAAATTGTGTTTTCTGACATGTTCCCGCCGCTCTGTCAGAGAATTAAAATTCAGCTAAGAGACAACGATCCGGTGAATACTATTATCGGCACGCACTTTGTCGACCTGAAAACTATATCCAACGACGGCGAAAAAGGTAATGTATTTGGACGGGGTTCTGTGACTTTTGTTCCAGGGTTTATATTGTGTGTATGGAAAAAAACTATACATTTTCTTCTGGTCCTTCGGTTAAGCTTTTTTTTATGGATTTCCGAATTTTCACACGCCAAAACACTTTTATTACCATCATTCTCCATCGAACAAATAAAGTTACAGAGTATAGAACTTTGCAGAATAGAAAGTTTTATAGTTATAAGTTTTTGGATCATTACTTTTGAAAAATATAACTCGTGTCCATTTTCTGCCTTTGTGTCATCGACGCGCACATAGTCATTACTCTCAATAGACTGATTTGATGAAAAAAAAAAATAGATAATTGTCTTTTAAAATATTCACAAAAAAAAAAACTGATACTTCAATGGAAAAAATGTTTTATATTATGTTATCAAACCGTACATTGGGGTTTTATACGGGTTTTGCGAAAATTAATCAATTTAAAAACACAAATGTATTGAAAAACAAAAACTTCCGGTTTTATTAAAAATGAAAAAAATTTAGCTACAATTTTGAGATAATATTATCTATAGTTAATAGCATATAATAAATAAAAATTAAGGAGCCTAAATTCCAAGGACGTACGGTAATCGTTTTAAATGTTTTATTCGGCTTTCGAGCTCCAAAATGTAATTAAAACTAAAAATAATGAGCAGTGAAAAAAAAATGTTAACGTATAATATAATGGAAAGGCTATTTTTTAAGTATCTTTTAGCGTTAAAATTCGCTTGAAAGGAATGCATTTACAGTTAAAAAAACTAAAATACAATTACTTTTGAGAAACACATATATACTCGTTCCAAACACTGCCAATTGCCCCTTTAAAGCGACGGGCAATATATTATATACACTTAATTGTTTTAGATTAGCTTCGATACGGAGCTGGGAAGGTATTGTTTTTACAATTGGGTTGTTTTTGTGTCTGGACCAACGATATCTTTTTAAAGGGATTCATGCGGTCTGTTTTTTAGAAGTTTTTATAAGCAAAATTTAAGAACTCTGTTAAGGTCAGACATGTGACCCCACTATGCCTCGACCCCGCCGTACTGGGTTTTTTTTTTTTAATTAAACGTAAACGGTCGATTGTTGTGTACGAGTTTGTTCATCCGTTCATCCGTGTATTGATGTTTCAGGTTTCCCGCCTACCTTCGGACCGACGTTCATACACATGTACGGGTCAACAAGGGATTACAGCATTCTGGACAAACACGCCACCCTCAACACCGGACTTGGGGAAGGGGTGTCATACAGGGCCAGGGTGCTGGTGTCTATTCGCACCGAGATCACCGAAAACACTGAATTTTTGAACTCCGGAGTGGACGTCGAGCCTACGTATCCAATTACCGAGGTACAAATAAGTAACCACGACGATTGGTTTTTCCACCCCACTTGAATATACAGAGTGATCATTTTAAGAAACTTTTTTCAAACATGGGATAAGAGTGATTACATTTCAAGTTGGAATTTTTTTAATGAAAAATTATAACTTTCCGTGTCAAGGGGATTGTACGCAGTCAGTTTTTAAGAAGTTTTGTGTAGGCAATATTTAAGAAAAAAGTAGTTTTAATAAACTTCGACCATGTAAATTAATTTTCCGGTTAATTTTTACAAGCTTCAAGGTATTATTTTTAATTTATGTAATTTTTTTATGAGTAAAAGTCATTTTGGTTTATTTTAGACCAAAAAGCCAGACAAAATTTCGACTACTTAGGATGGTACAATTTCAATTCTTTAAAGAGATTCGAGTTCGTTGGCTACTTTACCATGTTATGTAGGAAGCCGATTTTCATTTAAACATTTCAGTTTCTTGTAATTACATAAATTATATTTGCAATTTTTTCAATATTAAAACCCAATTTTTTTACATAAAAAAAATCAAAAATCCGTTTTCTATAAAACCTAATAAAGTTGCCGAAGAACTCGTATATCTTTATAGAATTCAAATCAGACCATCCTAAGTAGTCGACATTTTGTCTGGCTGAGTTGAGCTAAGGATCTGAAATTTTTTTTAAATATATTTTATTATAGTAAATCACGTTTGGCTTTCAGACGTCGTATTGTAAGAACGAAGAGTTCTTTTTGTTCGTGACCATCTTGGACGCGTCGATGATCGACAAAAAGCTGGGAGAGAAGCCAATCTATTTCGAACTGAGCATAGGCAATGCGGGCAACGTGATCGACGGTCACAACGAATCAAATTCCCAGGAAGACCACGACAAGTTCAACGTGCTGGGTAATTACACGATTGCCACATCTTAAAGTGGTCAGAAACCCCGTTAAAAGTGATCAAAAGTGTATTTTCTATTATCTAATACATTTTCGCCTAATTGTATATTCTAAAAGTACAGGGGCAGATTTAGGAATAAAAAAATGGTGGAGCTAGATTCTAGATAGAATTTTTTTTTCTAGATGCTAGGAAAAAATTCACTTCAAATACACACGAGTAACAGTCATAAGGTTGAAGTTTACATTGTAAAAATTACAAATTTTATTATATTATTAATTATTATACTACTTTTTTTAATAAATGCTCAGACTTATGATTAACTAAAACATTTTGAGAAAATTTACTTTTGGCCACTTTTTAATGTTTTTCCTCACTGCGTATTGGTTAAAATAACATGTGATAATTATAAAAGTATTATATTCGTGAAATAACTTTTGAAATCGACAGAAAGCGTCGTTTCGGAATCTTGGCAGAGCACGACAGCGGCAATAAAGCCGGTGACCAACGACAAGACGTATTACTTTCTACCGTTGTGCGAAGACAAACCTTGTTTGCACGTCAAGTCCGCCTGGCCGGACTATCGGAGAAGGATGTACAACTCCAACTTAATTAATAAAATAACGGATAAGTTGGTAAGCGTAGATGATAATAACGAGGATGGACACCGTAAAAGGCACCTTGAGGGAGTAGCACAGAGTGTAACGGGTTCTAAGTCAATTTGAGGGACATCAGTTGATTTTGTTTGGGAAAAACTTACCGTATACTGGTTGGAACTGTTATTCCAACTATTTGAATAAATCCTATCCTTACTTTTTAAAAAAAAAAAATCGTCCTTAATTGCTACACAAACACACTACAATTATTTCTATTGATAGTGTTGTAAATATTTGGCTAGCCATCATACTAATAATGTCCCATTCGGATATCTTCTAAGCCGTTTGCTACCGCGATGACACCCCAAACGATACCAACGGTTAGTAAAAAAATTTAAATAACCCTATACGATTATACCTCATGCAACAGGAAGAAGGTTTGAACGAGGTGTCGTTCTTGCTAGACGACGACGACCCGGACAAAGAGGACAAACTTAAATCGGTCCTGGACGAACTATCGTCGAGCTGTTATCGGTATGTGAACTTTACGAAAGGCGTGGGATGCGGTCAGGGTTTGGGCAAGACCAAACTGGACAAGGAAAGGATAAAACTCTGTTTGCGAGAAATAGTTAGTATGGGGTTTTCGGGCTCCAAATGTACATACTTGTATACCATATTTTTGTCTACAGGAACACGTGGGTAAGATGTCGAGAAATTTAAAAGCTATAGTTACAAAGAATTCGTTCAAGGAGCGTTATAAAACTTCGCTGGGGTATTTACAGAAAATCAAAATGCTCGTTGAAGACGTAAGTGTGTTTAAACTAAAAAAAAAACGGTCAGTTAGCGTTAGCTTGCTGATGTATTTTCACCGAGTTCATTGGCGTTCTAGCCGCAACACTCGTTACCTGATATTTTCCTGTGGATGGTTAGTAACGGCAAGAGAGTGGCGTACCAAAGAATAATGGCTAGGCACTTGATCTATTCGGTAGCCGACGAGGAATGTGGAAAGTTCTGTTCGAAAGTGCACAGCATATTTTTAAAGGTAAAATTAATGACGTTGATATCGAAACTAAACTATATATGGGTAATTGGCAATTGTGTTTATTGTATATTTTATTACTTGCAATTATAGTTGCCGGGCAAGAAGAATTGCGGCGCTTCGGGTTGGTCGGTGCCCGCTAAACTGCAAGTGTACACGTGGCTGGGACAAATGAAGCACAAGAAGTATTTGTCGGCGGGTTTGCCCAGCGGTTACAATACCGTTCCCGAGCTGTACAGTCCGGACAACCCGAGATTGCCTCCTCCGGCTTACATTCACTACCGCGAAAAATATGTAGGTCGTTCGTCCGACAAACAAAAATCGTTCCCCATCATATAACTATGTCTAGCTATCACGAAAATCGATTTCAAAGTACTTACAAATCACTGAATTTAACCTTTTCCAGATGTTCCAGCTGAGAGCATACATGTACCAAGCCCGCTCGTTGATTGGTTCAGACGCTTCCGGGTTATCCGACCCGTACGCACAGGTTATATTCGGCGAGCATTCCACAAAAACCCAGGTACCTCGTCGACAATCTGGTAGGTACTCCGGATAACGTGAGATCATTTGTTAACGGTAAATTCATGTGGTCTCAGGTGATAGACGAAACGCTGTCTCCGACTTGGGACGAACTGCTGATCATCGACCAGGTAACGTTGTACGGCACCAAGGAACACATCAAAAGTCACCCGCCGACCGTCGTGGTGGAGATATTCGACCAAGACAAAGTGGTAATCTATCGAATTTTGTCGGGAGGACGCGCGTTAACGGTTGCTCTATTCGTTTCCAGGGCAAATCCGAATTCATCGGCCGCACCTCAGCCAGGCCACACGTTAAACTACTCGAAGATGACTACGTAAAACCAGATTTTCCACCGTCTTTGGAATGGTACGACGTGCACAGAGGCATGGAACACGCCGGAGAGCTTTTGGCCACTTTCGAGCTGTTACAGGTATAAGCGTGTGATTTCAGACTTTTCATGTCTGAATCCATATTCACATGTTTGTTTTTGTTTTCGCAGCTTCCCAACCCGTTTTTAGGTGAGAGTGCTGTGCTGCCACCCTTGCCGGACCCGAAAGATGTGTATTCCATAATGGATAGTCAAAACTGCGGACCGGTGTTGCCGATTCCCCAAGACATTCGACCTACGTTAGCCAAATACAGGTGAGCCGCCACTACACAAACGTTTGGCAATACCTGTTGTGTTTAATTAGCATATTTGTTGCTTTTTTTTTTTACCGATACCAATCTTCTTCTTATTTATCTTCGCCTTACACACCCAACTACATGGGGTCGGCGCCCTAGTCCTACTCTTTCATAGATCTTCTAAATCTCGTCCAATCATCCTAGCTATCCCCATATCACTCTCTATTCCATCTATCCATCTTTTCTTCGATCTTTCTCTTCCATATTTTCCCCCTACATTCATTTTCATTACACCTCTTACTGCATCTGCCTCATATCTTCTCATAACATGATCGAACCATCTCAACCTATTTTCTCTCATTTTCCCCACAATTGATACTACACTCCCCCTTATGTATCCATTTCTTATTCTATCCTCCCTTGTCACTCCATTCATCCATACAAATACTAGATACCAGTAAAATATAAAAATGTTTACATGTACCAGAATGACATATCGCGTGTCAGAAAGTCGATGACTTACGGGTCTTTGGTAAGATATTGTTCGACAAACAATAGACACAAACAAAACTAACATAGGCAAACATTTTGGTTGTACTGTGTAGTTATTATGTTTTGTTCGTCTAACAATAATGTGACTCGAAATAGCCAATGCCCGGTACACATACTGTTAGGACTCTCATGACTTGTTGAACTAACGTCAACGAATTTGTTTTCAGGATCGAAGTATTGTTTTGGGGATTGCGGGATTTGAAACGCGTTCATCTCATGTCGGTAGACAAACCGCGTGTAGACATAGAATGCGCCGGTCACATCCTCTACTCGTCGATCATTCAAAACGCCAAAAAAAATCCAAATTTCAGCACACCTGTCAAGTTTTTAGAACTCGTAAGTACTTCGAGGTATAATTAATAAAAGTCTGTCCAATAGTTTTGGAAATTCGAAGCTAAAAGAGCTAGAGTTTATTAACTTGGATTTAATTTCGGGTTCATGTTGCTAAAAACAGTTCATCGTTTTCCCCCTCTCAGGAGTTGCCGGAACAAGAACTTTATCGACCGCCACTTACAATACGTGCAGTCGACTGTCGAAGTTTCGGACGTTTTACCTTAGTAGGAACACATCTTATTAATTCTATACACAGGTACATGTACGTACCGACAACTAAGAGGGACCGTGAAGCTATGGAACGAAGGAAGTCACTGAAACAATTGCAACGTAAGAATATAATATGATAAACGTCTTGACATAAGTTTTACATAAGTCATGTCTAGATATATAATTAAATAAAACCTAATACAATTTTTTCCCTTTAAAAATGAGTTTCTTCGTGGAAAACCAAAACTGTATTGTATTTCTTTAGAAATAGACATTAAAAGAAATTCTACGACTCCTCGTCGACCTCACAAAAACGACCACAACAACACGCAATCGTACGATAAAGGTTACAATGGTTTCGACAAGCCGGACTCGGTCATTTACATTAACTATGTAAGTCGGTATTCGTAGAAACAGATTAGATTCGGGTATCTTATCTCCGGTTTTGTTCTCAGGGGTCGAGTCACTTGACTCAAAAAGACATTAAAACTCAGTACAATCGAAATCGCAAGCATAGCGTCGAGGAGGTAGTCGAGATGAGGAACGATGATAGCAGAGATTGGTGGACCAAGTACTTTGCGTCCGTTGAGTACGCCATCTTAGAGGTTCGCTTTAATTATCTTTGTTGTTCAATAATGTATACTATTTGATCACCTCGTAGTTCTCTTACCTAACCTAACCTTCCATTCTAGTGAGTGGTATATATATATATATATATATATGTGTGTGTTTCATCTTGCTCTGTTTCGCATTAGGAAAATCGAAAATCCATTTACGGGGACAGCAACGGACTGTTACCCATTCAAATGGAAGCGGACAATAACGAGGCCAAGTCGACGAAAAAGGGTACGAAAGCTTCGCGGCTCGTAGCCAAACTGAGCCCGAAGAAATTTCAAAGGAAACGAGAAATGGAAAAAAAAATTGCCACTATGAAGGTAAGAAGCTCGTCGATTACGCACTCTTGTTTAAGCGTAAGACCTTACTGATGAGTGCAACTAATCGCGCAGATATATTCCAACGAGCTGGAGGCACAACCGGAGTTTAACGGTTTTCGAGAATGGTTGTTGCCTTTTGACTTGTACCGAGGCAAAAAGACCGGCGACGATGTCGAAGACGACGCCAGGATAGTCGGGACGTTTAAAGCGAGTATCATCAATCGATTGGCACTAATCGCGTTTACAAAACCAAAACCGTTAACAATCACATATTTTACAGGGTTCGGTTAAAGTGTACAAGTGGCCGTTGCCGAGAGATATCGAAGACCACACGATAATGGGATTCGATCCGCAATTCGGTTTCTTCCAAGGGTTGCCGTCGAACGATCCAATCCACGTTTTGGTCAGGGTATACATAGTTAAGGCCAACGATTTGCACCCGATGGATATAAACGGCAAGGCCGACCCGTACGTTGTGCTGCAGCTGGGGTCCAAGAAAATCAGCGACAAAGACAATTACATATCCAAACAGCTGAATCCCGTTTTTGGAAAGTGCGTCCGCGAAAAGAGCACACACCTTCTTTTGTCGGGTGTTTGATGAATATCTGACACATTTTTTTTTATTGTCCGACAGGTGCTTTGAAATCGAAGCCACGTTCCCTCAAGACTCCATGCTAACCGTACAGATTCTAGACTGGGACTTGCTGGGATCGGACGATTTGATCGGTGAGACCAGAATAGACTTGGAAAACCGATTTTACAGTAGACACAGGGCGACCTGTGGCATTCCCAAAACATACGAGTTGTGAGTGCGCGGTTACGGTTTCAGAATGTGAAACGAGCCGGATTAAATAACTATTAACAAACAAATTCACAGGCATGGTTACAACCGTTGGAGGGATTCGATGAAGCCCACGCAGATATTGGCGAAATTGTGCAAAGAAGCCAAGTTTGACACGCCGGTCTACATGAACGGCACGGTCAAAATCGGTTCCAAAACGTTCTGTCTTCAAAACAACACTGAAGACACGATCGATTGGTATTGTGCCAAAGGTAAGTGTCTGGTGGCAAGTCCATTCCAAAAATGATACAAGTTACCGGCTCTTTGTATGTGCGTGTGTGTATAGGAGCGGAGGAGCACATGGCTTTAGCTGTGCTACACAATTGGCACGAAATACCGAAAAGGGGTTGCCACCTGGTGCCCGAACACATCGAGACACGACCGCTGTTCATTGCGGACAAAGCCGGAATCGAAAGGGTGCATCACAATCGGAAAAATACCGACTTTGATTGCTAACTTTACTAACTTTTGTTTACATTACCGATTTTAGGGTAAGCTAGAGATGTGGGTGGATTTGTTTCCGATGGACATGCCACTTCCCGGGCCTGCGTTGGATATATCGCCGAGGAAACCCAAATCCTATCAGTTGCGAGTGATCATTTGGAACACGGACGACGTGGTGTTGGAGGACGACGCTTTTTTCACGGGCGAGAAGATGAGCGACATCTACGTCAAAGGGTCGGTGATAGTAGTAATAGTAAATTATAGTTTAAAATTGAAAGAAAAAGGGCCAAAATTATAATTATAAATTCAAACAATTCATTGGATATACACAATCCTTAATAGCCTACACAATGCTTTTGTGAGAGAGCAGTTCCAACTCCCCTCCCGGAAGACGCCGTAAACTGATAATTAGTTATGCTTAATATAAACAAATCGGCAGGTGGTTGAAAGGACCGGAAGACTGTCAGAGCACGGACATACACTACAGGTCGTTGACCGGAGAGGGAAACTTCAATTGGAGATTTCTTTTCCCGTTCGACTACCTGGTGGCCGAAGAGAAAATAGTGATTTCGAAAAAGGAGTCGCTTTTCTCGTGGGACGAGACAGAAAGCAAAATACCGGCGAGATTGGAGCTCCAAGTCTGGGACGCCGATCACTTCTCGGCCGACGATTTCCTGGGTAAAAATCCGTTAACGATTCTTCCTAGCACTCAAACGATTTAACGTTCTTGTCTTCCTCTCAGGAGCCCTGACGCTGGATTTGAACAATTTTCCAAGAGGCGCCAAATCGTCAAAACTATGCACGTTAGAGATGCTCAAGTCCGACGGATCCGTCCCAATGGTGAACATATTTAAACAGAAACGAGTGAAAGGCTGGTGGCCGTTTTACGTGAAAAAGGAAAACGAAGAGATGGAACTGACGGTTTGTAAGATTAGTTTATCAAAACGTAAAAGTAAATGTGTTTTTTTTTTCATTTTATGGCTAGTAGCTTATTTTTTTACCGTTTTTTATTTTACTGCTACTTTTTCTAATAAAAATATAAAATTATTTAATTGTATACAGGGTAAAGTCGAAGCCGAGTTACATTTACTATCCACCGAAGAAGCGGAAAAAATTCCTGCCGGTATCGGTCGCAACGAACCTGATCCACTAGACAAACCAAAGTAAATGTTTTTTTGTTAATTCAATTTGTTGTATCTTGAATTTGTTGTACTTTTTTCTTCAGCCGACCCGATGCATCGTTCATGTGGTTCCTGAACCCGTTCAAATCGATACGATACATAATTTGGCATAACTACAAATGGAAAATTCTCAAAGGAATCGTGGTGCTGGCCATATTTCTCATGTTATTATTATTTTTCTATTCAATACCAGGTTACTCGGTTAAGAAGATGTTGGGAGCCTAATTTATTTTAAGCCGGGTTATTTAAACAAAATTAAAACCTCATCTAGTGTTTATCCTGATATCAATGAGTAATTTTCGTTTACTAAAATATCACATTTATGTTAATGAATCATAAGCAATAATTTTTGTGTCACTACCAACACCAAAATGGTCCATAATTATTGATATTACTTAGGCATTCTAAAACCTAATTTCTTTCCATTCATCATTTGTTCTATTTAAATAGGTTAAGGTGCATAGATAAGTCCTGTAGCTTTAAAATTATTTTATAATTTCGTTCTTATTTGACTAGTTCCCCGAATAAAATGAATTTATCCAATTTAAGGGTCTTATTATATTTATTAACTCACAGAAGATGCAGAGTACAGGTTATTAACCAAAGGAATTAAACTCAAAAATAAAAATCAATTATCGAACAGAATAATAATAGAAAGTTTTTTGGACAATGAAAACAAACACCACGCCAGTTTCCATTTCGATAAGAACATCAGCATAAGTAAATCAAATTAAAATTTTGAGTCAATTAAGTTTAAAGATTTTACTTATTCCTAATATATTTGCTTCAAACAGATAAACAAATAAGAAAAAAATTCTGACCCAGAACGTTGAAAAAATAAAGTGTTTTAATTTTATGGGTCTACATTGTTTGGACTAACATATTACTTTAATGGTATAAATTATAATTTTTTAGTTAAAATAAAAAGATGTAAACACTAAACTTTGGCTGAAACGCGTTTCGAGACTCTGACTTTTATTATTATTATAGTCTTTAACTGTTCAATCGATAGCACATATTATTTATTGCTCAGGAAAGTTTTCCTAACTGGTTGTAAAAATATCTAAAAACATTTTTAAATTAGGTACTGTTACCAAAATATTGCAACATAACACTCGAGCATTAAATTATCATTGTTCTGTCTATTATTTTTCACCATATTTATCTAAACAATGAATTGTAAATAAATACAAATCAAAAATGTATATTAATATGCATCTTATTACATTAAAGTCAAATAAATTTCGTTTCCTACCTAACCAACCAAACAAAAGTATTATAACCAAAACCTTTTTACGACTGTCAACAAATTATTATATGCTAATATACTTAAGAAATTAAGATTTACTGTATGGATACTGTAACACGTGTATATTCATACCATTATGATTAAGTTTGAACACTATTATAGAATTATGTAATCCATTATCAATGTAAATTAATTGTACTTAAAATACAAATAATATACATGGAATACAATTTTTTTTTTTAAATTATCATCATTTTTAATTGTAAATAAAACATTTATTTTTGATTCGATTGACATGATAAAATATACAATTATATACAAACAAACAATTATATTAATAACTGTATGGGAGGGGGGGAAATGTAAAAATCATAACAATAAAATAATATATTATTATCGTTTCAGTCGCAATATTTTTTTAAAGATATTTTCGGTACAATACTCATGGCTTGGAGTTCTTGAAAGAGCAATTTGCATGCGTAAGGCATCTTAATGCGGCACACGGAGTTACTTTTCTGACACATGTGACACCATCCAGAGTACGAAAACAAACCACAAATTTTGCATACGTCCATTTCGACGACATCGCTACTTAACATCAATCGCTCGATTATTAACATACTTGCACCGTACGCGATCAGGCAGTCTCTTTCCATCTCTCCCATTCGTAGTCCACCGTCTTTGGACCGACCCTCGGTCGGCTGTCTTGTCAACAACACTCTAGGACCTCTGGACCTAGCATGTATTTTGTCGGCTACCATGTGTTTGAGTCGCTGATAGAATACCGGGCCCGAATAAATATACGCTTCCATTGGTTTTCCATCGATGCCACAGTAGAGCACGTCTTTTCCCAGATAGTTGAAATCGTTTTTTTGTAACTCGTTACTCACATCGGTAACAGTTGCTCCGCCAAATGCACTACCATCTTGAAATTTGCCTTCCAGCAATCCGGCTTTGCCGGCCAACAGTTCTATTAGCTTACCGACCGTCATACGAGACGGGAAACCGTGCGGGTTCATAATTAAATCAGGACACACACCCATTTCGTTGAATGGCATGTCTTCTTGATTAACAATCAAACCAACAACTCCTTTTTGCCCGTGTCTACTACTGAACTTGTCGCCAATTTCTGGTCTCCTCGGTTGTCGAAAATTTTCTTTAATCAGAAAACAGTCGCTATTCGAAGTTATCATTACTTTGTCGATATAAGATGGATCGTATCCTTTGTACAGCATTGGAGTGTCTTTGAAACCCCTATCGCCGCCAACATCTTCTACTGTAACCGTTTTCGGAGTCGCCTTGTTGATTGTTACTTGTTTGTCAAAAACTGGTTGACCTATAGCGGCTATACCGTCGTTATCCAACGCTCTATGTTTGTAAATTGGTTTTTTCGTCGTGTTGTCTATAATGGGCCCTTGTATAGAATCCATCATTTGATTTGGATAATGTCTCAAGAAACATTTAGAATTTCTGAAAGTACCACCTCTTCCAAATCCTCGGTCGACGCTGGCCTTATTAAGTATAATCGCATCTTCAATGTCATAACCCGAATAACTCATCACAGCGATTGTCGCATTCTGGCCGGCAGGCAGTTTGTCGAAATTGATCATAGGAACAGCCTTTGAATGAACCATCGGAATGTGTGTATACCACAAATTATACTGAAGTGTGTCAATTCTATGCAAATAATTTAACGCTATTGTACCGATTGCTTGTTTTCCCATAGCACATTGGTAAGTATTTCGAGGCGACTGATTGTGATGAGGATAAGGAATGACACTAGCGCATATGCCTAAGATGGTAAATGGTGCCATTTCCATGTGAGTAGTTCCAGGAACAATTTTTTCTTCGCTGAACGCAATTAGGCAATTGTTTTCTTCGTCAACATCGATAAACTCAATTAGAGAATTATCAATGAAATCCTGAAATGTTAAAAAGCCATTTTTCAGATCTTCCACGTGAGAGTTGTTTAATAGAGGAATCCCATTTTCAACGACAATATAAGGTCTACATAATCTACCATCACCAGAGTTGATGTAAATACACTTGTGTCTTTCTGATATATAAATTGAGATAAATTTACTGAACATGCCTTTACGTCTGCACATTCGAAATTTGTCTACAAAATCAATACATTTATTAGTCGAGCCTATGATGTTACCGTTGAAAATGATTATATACTTATAGTCTTCATGGAGTTCTTCTATTGAATGTAAACCAACAGCTTCAACTCCTAAATCTAGGGCTAATTTAATTACGGCGTCGTCGTCTTCAGATTCGGTAGTAACGTGAGCCAGGAGAGATATGTTTTTTATAAGACCACATGCTTCGCCTTCAGGAGTGTCAGATGGGCATAACATTCCAAATTGTGAAGGTTGTAGTGATCGCGGACCGGATACTTTTCTACTCTTCTCAAACTGAGAATTTACTCTTGTCATCATACCAATGGCGGACAAATACGATAATCTAGTTAATACTTGTGTGACCCCGTGCCTTTCCATGCGAAAACGCTTGATGGTCCAGTTGCCAGTTTGAATAGCGAAAACGAGTGAATTAGTAATTGTATCAGTTCTGATGTATTTAATAATATCAAATGGAGTCGCTTTTACTTTTGGTATGTTCTTATCGGCAACAGCTTTGAGTTCAAAAGTAAAACGTTTAAAGGTATCGTCGAAAAGTAAACTCAAAAATGACCCCGGTAAGTCCAAACATTTATTACCGTAATAATCTTTGCTATCAAACAGTTCAGGATTGGACAGAGCAAATATTAATCTTCTCACCATCACTGATGTATAAATAGCTTTCATGTGGTAGTTTGTGTTTGCTACAGGTATATGAGCTAAAATAACGGTAGATAAAAAGTCATGTACTTCGGTAATGACTCGGCTGTCATAGTCATCTGAAGCGAAACCCATTTTTTTAATTCTATCTCCAATATATCTCAGGGCCTGTTTTTGAGTAAATATACCCAACTTGTTACATTCAATAAAACAAGGATACATTTGATTCATAACAGGAAATTCTGTTCCCACCATTTGTAATATTAACTGGTCGGAGCAAACCCCAAAAGCTTTCATAAAAACAACAAATGGTACGTTTTCTTCAAGAGCGTTGTGGCATACATATATTAAATTTTTTTTAAATATAATATTAGTCTTAGATTTTTTGTCAACAGTACTACTCATTACCTGTACTGTTGGTACACCATTTGAATCTTTTTCAACTAAAATTTTATTTTTGGCTGGTTGTTCTTGCATGAGTATTACTTTTTCAGTACCTTTCACAATAAAGTAACCACCAGAATCGTATATGCATTCTTTCATCTTGGCCAGTTCGGCATTAGATTTCTGGTATAAACAACAACGGTTACTTCTCAACATGATTGGCAAACGGCCTATAATAAATCCTTTACGCAGATACTTCATGCCGCTTTTCACATACTCAATATCAACATATATGGGTGCTGAGTAAGTGAGATCTCGGAGACGACATTCTTGTGGTGTAACGTTTCGTGTAACATTGAAACCGTCATCTACCTAAAATTAAATAATTATTTTTTATCAAATATGTATGCTTAATTAAAATATCTATCAATATTAGGGCAATGTATTATCTTTTAATACATAAATAGTAAACCATTAAACGCCATTTTTACTAATTTTTTATTAAAGAATAACATTATGAGTCCAATCTCAAATTCTCTTGTTTTACATACAATCTTAATTGAACAATATGTTAATTGGTACATTTTTCTATGTTCCTGGCAGTTAAAAATAATAATACAAAGAAATGTACTTTTGTAAATTTTGAATTAAAAAAAAATTTTAAAGTTAAATACTAATTAATAGTAAATGAAATTTAATATGCTTATAAATAATAAATTAGACAATAATAAGAGATTTCTACATGACTCATGTTTTGTATGTATTATGGATGAAATCCCATCAAAATAAAATAATTAATTTAAAAGTATTATATCTTTTTTAATGTAATAAAACTCAAACATTTAATTTCAATAAAATGTATATTACTCTGTTAACAAAATACTATATTACCTGTGGATGACCGACTGTAACGTTTTTGAAATGAAGGTAAAAATTTGGATCAGCGTCACTGCGTACGGCATGGTTTTGTTGAACAATTTTCTTTAGATCTCGATCAATGAATGCGTTAAATGAATTTATGTGATGGCTATATAATCCACGAGTTTCTAGATACTCTTTAACGAGAAATTCTTTATCTCGTAGTACCTCTACCATTTTTTTCAGCTGGATTTGTATTTTTTACTTATTTAAAAAAAATATAACTACTAGTTACATAAATAAATAACAATTAGGTCTTATAAAATCTATAACACTTAAGACATTATATAGCTAAACTTTGAACTAAGTAATTTTTTTTAAACATAATAGGTAGTTGGCTATAAAAAATAATCGTTAATTGAAGCAATTTATAGTTATTGTTTATAAGTTATAACAAAATATTGCAAACAAACCAAAAGTCTTGCAGCGTGCATGTGTGATCTGAGCCGCAGCCCGCAAGATTATTTAAAAATTGATAAGTGATAACAACGTATTGATAACAATTTGATGTTATCAATTAAAATTGCGCCGTGCACCCTTACCAGTTATTACATATTAAATATTACCAAAGTTTAAAATATATTGTTTACAATTTACAAATTATATATAAAAATGTATTAATAATACACAATACACATATTATAAATTATTATACGTATATTAAAATATAAGTATCTTTTAAGTAGTGTTTATTAGGATTATGATTTTTAAAATTGGTTATTTAGTCGATAATCCGAGATTAGACTGTGAATTGAGAATTCGATCGTTAATAGAAGAAAATATGAACGTCGTTCGAGCAGCAAATTTATCAAACCTAATTTTTATTTATTTCACCCTTTGCCATGATTTCCGTGTCCTCTGTTTTGGTAGTGGACATAAAAATTCAGGTATGGACATCATCGTTTTCTCAAATAAAAGATAGTTTAAATAAAAAATTGTGTTCGTCCTATTTGGTTGGCTCACTAGGCATTTTACTTGTTTTAAAAATTTTAATTTATTATTGCTTTGAAAATTTCAGAACGGAATTATTATGAAGAAACGATTGACGTCATTACGCTTTAATAGCATTTACCCAATTTTGCAATGATAACACAACATTAATTTCACAAAGTTATACATTTATAAGCATCAATGCAGAGCTGAGAAGGTATTATTTTTTATTTTTTTGAAAATGAGTAAAAATTAAAATATTTTCTTTTATATTTAATGAGCGTTTAGAGAGTTCAATTCATGGAAGTAATATTGTCAGGGGGATAAAGAACGAGGCAAAAAACCCTATTATAAATTATGTGTCTGTCAATCAAATATAGCTATAGCTTAACATAGACAAGTAAGGAGGACAATGATTCAACTAGTATTTTATCTTTTATTCAAATAGAATGTTTCTTAAGAAGCTAGCGATTTTTTAATAGAAAATTAAATTACGGTTTTTTTCAAATATAATGTATTGATTATTGCCAATCTCAAGAATTCAATATTTTTGGTCCATTCGAAGGGCTATGTGCAAAGTTAAAGTCATACAATAAGAATTAGCTTAGTTTGTTAGCTATAAATATTGATGTAAAATATTTTATTGATAATTATTATTTTTGAGGAAGACAAATGGGCTAGCGGATAAGACAGCACTCTAGTGTACACTGTTGCTGGTTCAGCAATTTGATGCCAGGCGACTCCGTTTACTGGGCTGGGAATTGTCCTGTTATTAGGGTTAACATCTTCTTAACAGACAACAGACTAATCACCCTTTCTGGCATTTAAATGGTTAGGTTAGATTTATTTGAATATTTGATAATGTTTCAACTTTGTATAATTTATAAATATTTTAGAAAATTCCTGGTGCGATATGAGTTGCCGAGAAGAATAAAGGTATTTTCAACATAATGATAGACATGAACATTTTACCAAAATACGGAGTCATATTTCAAAACATTAATTTGTTATGTTCAGAAGCAGCCGATTCTACAAATACTATAAAAGTTGATATTGATAAAAAGGCCGCTGTACCAAGTATGTTCGTGCAAAATATTTGTCAGGTATTATTTAACACATAGTGTTGATAATTATTTTGAACAACTGTTACAAATAATAATTATTACTTATTGTCAAGTTATTGATTCAATATGACTTGCAAGTTCTTATTATTTATGAAACAATAATTTTGTTTATGTTGCAGGATTGTTCTTCAGAAATCTATCGGACTATTTGTGTATTACAGAAATTATTAAAGTCTAGTACCTGTTAAAAATTTGCAAAGATGCATGTTATTAGAGAAAAAAAAATTCTTATTATAATAATTTTTATTCTTATTTGTTTTAATAATTTAAACTTCACGTACAATGTCAACCAAAAACATTGTTTTTCGATTGAAGGATGAACTTGTTGTTGTGTGTTAAATTTATTTAATTTATAAATATTTTAATTATTTTTGTAGTATGTTTTTTCAAAACCCAAAGGTAGATTTATGAGTTATTATTACTTATTTTAAATACATTTTTGCTTAACTAACAAATAGTTTTTCTTAAGGAATTGAAAGTGGGCGGTTTTTAAGGAGTTTTATGTAGGCTTTTAAAATAATGGTTTTTATTATTTTGATCATATCAAATTATTTACAAGTTAATTTTATAAGCTTTAGGGTATTATTTTTGTTTATACAATTTTTTTTTAAATAAAGCCATATTGGTGATAAAAAATGCTTTCACTTTGACAATATTGTGAGCCGTGAGACTGACTGGTTCAGTATAAATTCTATAAATAGATTGAACAACTTGTTGACCTTTTCAATGAGTTGTTTTAGAAACAGATTTCTACATAAAAAGTTTAATTTTTTTTGTAATTAAATAAATAAAATTTAAAAATTGGTTACTACCAAAATGCAACTATTTTAATTAGGTATTTTTAGTTAAATTAAAATTTATTGACATAAATTTGTTTTAATTAAAAATACATTTTTCTTATACTTTATATTTCATAATGATACTAATTTTTTATTTAAATAAAAATATGTTAATATAAATATTGTCTAGGTTAGTTTCTAATCCAATTTTGTTAGTTTTATGTTATCTGAGGCCATCGGTCATAGGTGATAGATGTGATCTCGCCTCTAGTGCTCATTGTTCAAAAACATAAAATTATTACTTGTAGACTGGTCTATTTAGACACTTTATAATATTTAATTTCATAGTGTATTTTAGGTAGTACAACTTAATAAAAAGAACAGATAGCCAAAAATACTGAAAACCTTAATAGAAATTTATTGATCGCAGTGAAACGTTTACGTTATTAAAGTATGTCTTTGAACAAATTATCAATTACCAAAAAATGGTAATAATAAATAGTTAAACATGTTATATTAGTTTGTGTGACGGTCTATAATAGAATACTACGAAATATGTAAAACAGATATTGTTAAATAACGATGTGGTATTAAGTAAATATATTCTAAAAATCGTCGATGAAAACATTTGTTGCAGGTATGTGTTTAATACAATTTGTACTAATGCACAGGCATTGTTTTTGACTAGACTACTGTTTCAATATGACACAATAATACAAGTGTAAGATACTTTCAATAGGTAATTACTAAGCATGATATGATATGAATCAGACAGCTTAATATTCAGACAGATCTAACGTTACAAAATCTGAGCTAATAAGTAAATGTTCATAATTGTGTCGATAGTCAACTCATAGTTCATCTTTTTTTTTTTTTTTACAAAAACAACATTTGAAAATGTAGATTGCATGTAAAATTTTATGTTTTTAAAAAAAGTTTTTTTTTATTTTACATTAAAAAAGATTGTCAGTTTTAGCTGAATTTTTCTTTATTTTTTGTTTTTCATGGTCTTTTTTGAATCAGAACGTAAAAGTTGTGCACTTTTAAATACCAAGGTGATTGATGAGCTTAATCAACTTTTATCTCCTATATTTTAAGATAAAATTGAAAATTAAGCTTGTATTAAATGTAACACAAAGACTTATCCATCATAACAAATCTATCAACATCAAATTGTTTTTCATTCCAACTACCGTACTTGACTCATTTTTAAAAATTTTAAAAAGTAATATTGTTCTGAAATACATTTTATTTGAGTTAAAATAATACGGCGTTTTGTATAGGCAATTCTGGTACGTTCGTGTATTTGGGTATTTTGCTAAAATACATTATTATTTTGTTATTAATTATTATAGCTACTGGAGGCCAATTTTATCGACGACTGAATATTACTTATGTTAATAAGACGATAAATTCTTAACTTTTAATTTTAGTCATGCGGTCACATATTATACGCTTAAACTTACCCGATTACTAGATCATCTTTTATACTTTTTATTGTGCTTTGAAGACTAACGGTGTGACGTGCTCTGCTTAGACATAAGTAATAAACAGTGGTGTATAGGGGGGGGGGGGGTGAAGTAAATACGTCCCTAGTGGTAAACTATAAAAAATTTAGTTGTTTCCTTTCTATCTTTAGGACGTTCACCACAATATAATGTACACTAATCATATAAAACTCCAGCCTCGTGTTTATGATTGATATCTTTAGATTATAGACACACAAAAATATCCTAATACATACAGTAAACAATCAGGTTTATTAGCCTTATAATTGTTACTTTTTTTCATTTTAATAATTTGTTGTTATTTTATTGATAACAACCAAATCAACATAAAGGAAAACTCTTATCTACAGTAAACGCTCAGATTGGTTAGGCTAGGATAATACGGGAGACCATCTAGACCAGCCGGTTTACATTTTTAACGGTAAAACTACACTTGTACAAATATGAACTTAAAACTTTAATAGGTAACCAATTTTTATTTAGGTCAAAAAACTATAACTTTAAAATAAGATAATTTTTGTATTAAGTGTTTAGTGTTATTATTTTTGTTTTATAAAACAATAAATGTGTTTTTTTCAAATCAAAATAAGTTTAAAGATGATATTTAAAGAATAACACAACATAAATTCAACAATTCAAAATATATAGTTTATTTCTGAAGTAAATATTAGAAATTCAATCATAATTGTATAATTTACGGATTAAACTCTTTATTTAGTCTTTTCACGTCTGATACAAACATGTGGACCAAGCATTTGATTAATTGTTCAACAATGTAGGGTTTGCCATTAAAAACCTCATTTATTGTTTTTGTAACGTTCATATTTTCGCTATCGATGAAATTAGCTTTTATTGCGTTGAATATTAAGTCATATCCTTCTTTCACTTTTCCATTTATTATGGATTGTCTTGCATCTATACCAGCTTGAAGAAATTTAACGAATAACGACCACTTGTATTTGTCTGTAAACAAATCACATATATATATATATATATATATATATATTTACCTAAAGTACTAGAAAATGTATAAGTAATCGGTGTCATTAAAAGTTAAGCGCTAGGAACAAGGTTTCATTTAAGATTTAGGGTATCGTTTTTTTGTGAGATGCAATAAACATACATAAATTAAATGTCCCATTAAAAAAATCCGTAGGTTTAATTAATTTCACTATGTTCTGATTAGTAATTTTATTAAACATGAACAATTCAGGATAAATGCCCGCTTTACTTTAATCGACAAAGATTTTGATTACATTGTTTTCAAGCTGGCTAGACAGTTTTATCTTATGAAAATGTCAGTCATATTACAAATATTTACATTTTACATGTTACGGGTCTTAAAAATTATTATACCTAACTGAAATCGATAAAACCACTCTTCAAAACATAATTGACGCATCAACGTAAAATGTTTAAAATCACAATGTGAGAATAACTGGGTTTTAACTGAAAGTTCGACTGAAATATGTTATTGATTATCATAGTTTATCATAAATTTAAATGTCTTGGTTTAACTCATTATTAGTCTCAATCGACTATCAGTTTTAGACTTTATACAAAATCCAGAAGATTTGTTGATCTCGAAAAATACCTTTACAAATATTCTCTCGGTCAGGTTTTTTTAAGTGCAACTGAAAATTAAAGAAATATAGGTGTCCAAAATGCTTTAATAAAAAAGTCAGTCGTCTCTATAGAATAATAATCAAATCATATTTCTTCTTGCTTATTGGACAAAAATAAACTAAATTATTGTTTTTTAATACTCACTGTCGTTTTTCATCTCGTCCGTAAGAAAACTTTCAAATGAAAACAGCTCTAAACGAATGCGAAGATTCCGTACAGATGAAGGCTCAGAAAGTTCAACTCCAGTGCAGGAAATCTGAAAAACACACATAATAGTAGTACTATATTATAATATAAAATTAGTATGATAAAAGACCTTGTCGGCTATCGTCAAACAGCATTGTATTAACGTATAACAGTGTTTCGTCTTGAATAAAGACATGTCAAAGAAAATGTTTTATGAACTTTAGAGGCTCAGCAAATTAGTTATAGTCCAATATTCGAGAGACCATAAGGTGGTATATTCGCTAATATTATATAAGATACATTATGCAAAACAGTTAATTTAATAAAACAAATTTGTATTATGTATGTTTCTATTGAAAAAAAATGTGCACAAACAGTTTTTTTTACACTTCAACAATATTAAAATATAATACATGTTTCATATTATATTAAAGGTAAGATACTTATGAATATAATTATTGAGATTATTGAAAATATAAAATATATTATAATATCTATTTATATAAATAATAACAATAACTATTTTGCTGATAGGATCAAATTAAAATTTTATGATGAAATAGTTTAATTTTTTTCCAAAATCTATATTTACTTACAATAAGACTGCACAAAAACGTTGCAAATAACACAAGACTCATGTTTGATTTCATCGTAAATATCTAAAACAATAAAAAGTCCGCAATAATTATAGTTTTGTCATCGACAGACATATTATGTGAAATATATATAATATATGTGTGCTACAATAATTTGACAAGTGAAATAACTTTTGATTTAGTGAAGATTTTTAAGTGTTTTTTTTAAATTAATTTGTTCTCATTTGCAATTAAACACGTAGGGTTTATATCTTAACTGTTTTATTTTTATTTATTATTTTTTTGGTTTTTTTTTTTTTTTAAATCTTATTTTATTAAGAACAATTTGCTAAAAATTATGTTTGGTCGACAACGCAATAATTACATTTAATAAATAAATAACTCTACACGGTTATTTAGCCGCATCCTATCATTATTCTTAATAAGATAGAACAATTTTTAATTTTAAAAAAAAATGTAACAACAAAAAATTTAAACGTTACTTACTTATTTGGCGTGTAATAAATCTAACATATAGTGACTAAAATAAAAAAGAACACTAGTACAGTTTGTCTTTTTTTTTTGGACGCTTCAAGTCGCATTTTTTTTAAATTGCGCCTTACACTCTTTTTGTGATTTTAGTGTTTTTACATAATATAAATATATAATATATTTTGTAGCTTTCTTCGCTGGCGGGCGCTTATT